TATATATAAACACATATAACATTAATTTGAAACAAACATCACACGAAAAATACTTTTATTAATGTACACTACCTACCCTATTTAAGGACTTCATTTTTTAGAATAAATTTAATTAAGGAAAAAATATCTATAATCAATTGAACATTTCGCGATGATAATGTTTTTCCAATTTCCGAAAATACAGAGAACTCCGAAAATGCGATCATGGCGAATTTACAAAGCGTCGTTTTCTCTTCCGAGGAAAACATTTAAGAGTCATGTTTTGAAAAAATAATTGTTTAACACTGTCAATTTTCCACGCACAATTACAAGAAAACTACCAATACTTTTGATAAAATGTACATCTTGTTTAAGGATGTGTCTTTTAAAAACACATGTTTTGAAAAAAAATATACCTTCAATTTTGTAGTTGTGAAAGACGCTGAAAAAATTTTGAAATTTTGAATTTTTCAAAAATTCTGAATTCTGCGTAAATGGAGCCTGTACTATTTTTTGTATCCTTTGCGATATACGAGATCACACAGAGTCCAATCACAAAATTGGGAGCCATTTGAGAAATTTTTGAAAATGTTGAGCTTTCATTTAAGGTACCCCCAAATATCAAAATATATGTTTCAAATTTGCAGTGCCTCGAGTTCGTTGAAATCGAATAAATTTTGGAATGAATCGAACGAATTCTCGAAATGAATTTTGGAGAAAATCGCCTGAAGCGTTAGCGTAGACCACACAGATTGACGTTTTACAGTCAATTTTTCGGATTCAAGAACCGACAAACTGTGGATTTTTTGATAGCACAAAGTGTTATAGAAATTCATTTATGAACAGGATTTATTCACTATTTCGCAAACAAGACCCCATCATACCATTTTTTCTGTCGAAAAATCGACAATTTTTGTCGCAACATTACATTTTTTCTTTACTACGTACGTAGAAAGACTAGAAAGTAAAAATTAGATTTTAAATAAGTGTATGTTTAGTTTTTTGAAAATATGAGTAGTTGTTCGCGTATTTGCTTGAAGTGAAGGGATTTGAAAAAAATATATTCAAAATCCTCTCGAAACTTTTTCTTTAGTTTTTCTTGAATATAGCAAATTACATGTACAAAAATGACAATGATTCCATTTTCGCAGAACTCGCTGAATTTTCGGAAAATGGAAAAGTAACAAATAATGCGAAAAAGTATGTGGTGTAATACGTTTCAAAAAGTAACTATGTTCCATCCTCTCACAAAATAAGAAAATTGTAGCGTAATTATATCGCATAGATATTTAGGCACTAAGGGCAATCAGTTACATACGCATGGTACATATAATATTTTATTTTTTACCTAATTTTAGTTAGTCAGATTTACTAATTAGTTAGATGTTAACTTAGGTCGATTTGTTTTCATTTTTACCTGTCATAATTCCCTCCATAAGAGAACATGAAACATCATTCAACTGTTTTTGCATTTCCCACGTAACCATGATCCTTTTGATCCACGAAAGTTTATGTAGTGTATATCGCGCTCTGTATCGAAAGCAATAACGTGTCAGTAAAATTATATTTCTCCGGTGGTAATGCTTTTTAAGGTTATTGTATAAAAATGTGAATTTTTTTAAAACAAATTACATATAATGTTAATTTTACAAAAAAAGTGCACAAAAAAACTGAATTTTTTGCATGTGTTTGTGAATTTTTCGCATTTCAAGGTGTTAAATATTCACATTTCCCGCCAAATGTTACCTAAATAATTTTTGTTTTTATTATTGAAAATTCGCGAAGTCATTCACACAAAATCTTAAAACGTGTCACGATAAATATGAAAACTAGCGGCGCTCAACAGCACATATTTTCTCGCATTACTTCTACCTTTTGCAATTGTCAAAAACTTCATAGAATTCAACGTATTTGAGACCTGCCCCACCTTAAGCGTCCTTTACTCTATCAGTTTATAACATTTAAAGAAAAAATTGAAGCCGTTTTAGAGAAAAAGTTGTTTCTTTTTAAATTGCATTAACTTTAAGCCAAATTATGTGATTGAATTTGCCTTATTTTACGTGGCGAGACTCGGGCCATCAGGCCCGCTCTTCCGTCTGACCACGCAAATTTCGCTACGCTCCTTTCATCAACTAGCAGAGAAAGGAGGTATTTCTTGGGCGAGAAACTGGCGATTTGAATTTAGCTCAGAGGCTTGAGGGTCTTTTACATGCAAGTAAATCTACTAACATGAAACTGCCTCCGAAGGCGTGCGAAGGATTTTTTCGCCCTTAAAAATCCACAGCTTCGAACGGGTTTGAACCCGCGACCTTGGGTACAACAGACCGGTACGCTAACCGTTACACCATCGACCCCGCCAACGTAATGACTATTCGTTGTTTCAAAAAATTAACCGTGACCTGTTTTTAAGCAAAAAACGCTTCTAGAATTATTAAGAAGTGTGGGATTTTCAGAGCAGGCGAGTAACTTTGACGCCCAATAACTCCAAATACACTCATATTTTCGAAATATTCAACATGATCTTATTTGAAAATCTGTTTTTTGTTTAACACATTCCATTAACATAAAAAGTAGCTTCGTAATTGTAGTTAAAGGAAGACGGCGAACAAATTTTCAATTGTAGAAAAATTAGGGTTTACAACCAACATGAGACCTGAACCATTTTCTTAAACGTCCTTCAGATTATCCAGCAACAAAATTTCATCCAAAACCATGGAGCCGGTTTTGAGAAAACAATTGTTTAAACAAAAATTAAAAATTTCCTAATTCTGTATGAAAAGTGTACCTGTCCTTATTTCATAATGTATCTTGAAGGAAAAGCTTGTATTAAAAGAAAAATCTCTATATTTAATAGTTTAGTTGTAGGAAGGCTTCGAAAAAATTTGAATTCAAAAATTGAAATTATATTTTTATGAGTCCTTTAGACTATACAACAACAAAATTTAATCAAAATCGATGGCGCCATTTTTTCGTCAATGTCCCAAAGGCTTCATATAAAGTACACCCCAAAATTAAAATATCGATTTCAAATTCAAGGCAGCAGCCGGATCGATTGGGGAATATCAATTTTGGAGAAGATCGGCTGAACGGTTTAGCCGCTAGCGTTGATCACAGACGAACAGAGACGTTTCACCGTCATTGGATTTTTCGGTATCAAGGAACCACTAAACAGGGATCTGGCTTCACCACGTGTTAGAGGATTTTTTTCTTTCTATTTTTTTTAACGCAACTGGATTTATCACTTTTTTCGGATCAGGGCCCTGAAATAAGTTTTTCTAGTGAAAATTCGCCTTTTCTGGCGCGGCATTGTATAACTTTCTCTTCTTAAGCGCGAGAAAGAAAAAATGTAAAGCCTATGATCAGAAAATGATACATATAAAAATGTATGCAATTATATAAAGTCCACGGGACACTAAATCATCCACCCCCCCCCCCCAGAAAAAGTTCTGGCGTGTGCCTGAGTCTCTACAACAAATTTAAGAATGAAATGCATTTGACATTCAAGAGACAAAAGACGAGATAATAGATAAAACATTTATCAGTGAATTATTATGCAATTATTGCATTTTTAATGCAATATATATCAAAGTCACGGGACACTAATCATCCCCCCCCCCCCCAAGAAAAGTTCTGGGGATGTGCCTTGAGTCTCTACAACAAATTTAAGAATGAAATGCATTGAATTCAAGAGACAAAAGACGAGATTAATAGATAAAACATTTATCAGTGAATAACTGATCATAGTTTTAAAAGGGAAACACTCAAAAATATATTTGCACAAAAGAAAATTTTACTGAAAATATTTTGTGAAATTCACTCATTTCAAAAAATCATTATCGCTAGAGAAGCAGAGATGAAACATTCTTTGATGAATGGTCATAGTTGAAATTCTACAGAAAAACGAATTTCAATATTTATCACTAAAATGTCATTCAGGTTTGATAGGGCAGTTTCAAAGCAATTTTTGGAAATTTTCAGATTTAGAAGGATACAATGATGTTTTCAGATACAATCAATAAACATTTAAACAGTTATTCAGAAATAAAATACAGAATTACACCAATACCTACAAAATTTTAACACTCAAATTAATAAAGAAATCAATAGTTGTTTGTATAACAAAGTGTTTAAATAGAGCTTTATTCACACAAGAGAAAGACTAGGTACCAAGAACAAAATAAATTAGTCAATTATATGAATTTGAGTGAATAAAACACAGTTCAAACCTCTCAGAACCAAAATTTTACTTTTGCCCAAGCCCCTTTTTTGGGTGTGTGAGATTCAAAAACACCTACACACACTTACGTCACATTGGCTACTGGATATGACTATTGATGATCGATTGATGTTTCTGGATATGTCCACTGCTATGGTATGGTCATTATTTCCTTTGGAGAAGGGAATGTTTTTCTATGCCAGGAGGTGGCAGTGTTCCTCCCCTGCTGGATTGGTGACATTTGGCACCAACCTGAATGGCTTGTGGAGGAAATCCCAACCCTGGGTGTCTACTCCAGCAGCACATTGCCCCAGCTAAGACAAGTTATGAGCTTCTGACTGGTCTCCCAATGTGTGGTAGTGTAGTGCATGCATGTGTGTAAGGAGAGAGGGTAGAATGGAAGAGGAAGGAAAGAACATGTGCAGTCCACAGCTCGTTTGTGAGGGTATTGTTCCAGCATTCACCTGATATTGATAGGAGAATCCATGGAAAACTACTCATTCAAGTATCCCTATTAAAATGCCACTTAAAATCCAGCAACAACAGAGTTTAGTCACAGAAAGGGGGTGATTAAAGATGCACTTTAATCACACTGAAAAATAAACTAGTATACACATTTGAAGATGAAAGGGGCATACTTACCAGTACAACAATGAACCAAAACTTGAACTTCATCCACAGTAGGGAACATAAATGCAGTGGTACCACCTTTACTTAAGTCACGAACATCTACAATATGTTGAGGTAAAGCCAAGAGTAGAAGGTCTGGTGGAGCAGTAGTTACTGCTAGAGGATCTTCACATGTATGAATGTCCTGACTCGCAAAATGGTGAACAGACATTACCCGAACCATTTTATTGGTATTTTAATTTTTCCTGAAAATCATGTAACAAAAATACAAAATCTTCAAAACTCTAAAAAGATGCATTCTTAATTTTCTCCCAAAAACTGTTAATGTCAATTACTTCTACACAAACCTTAATAAAACTTAACACATCAAAATACTCAAATTTGAAAATTTTAATTTAAATTTTTACTTAAATTCTAAATTTAATAATATGGAAAATTTCTGCAAGAAATCATTTGATTTTGCTCAGTAGTTTATCAACATTACTTAATTAATTAATGCCATCACTATATAAAATAAATTTGACATATACATTCTTTTTGCATTACTCCTTAATGTTTTTGAACTTCATTGTTCTTCTAATATACAGAGGTGTAAAAAAATTAGATTAAAGACAACTTCTTTGATAAATTCCAATATAACACATTCTCACTATCATAAAATTTTCTGAATTTTTCTCGTATTGCATGATTTACTAAAAATTTGTCTGTTGACACTCAAGCCCTGTTGGAAAAACTGTAATTACATTTTTCATTCTTGGCAGTGCCAAGGTTCCTATTTTACCGCCAAGAAAATAGTGTTATTATTTAGTGATTCATTTTGTTTCATGTCTGAATGTTCATATTTGCAGTGAATGGAACTGTACAGATGGTTCTGATTTTTCACGCATTAATTCCAGAACAATTATCACATTTCTTGAGCTTGTTGAAAAATAACATAATGGAGGAAGAATTGAGATTTTTTACTCTGAAACTACTCGGTAAAGTAAAAAATTAATGAATGCTGCTCCCCACATATCCTCAAAACCTGAAGGATTAAGAGTCTTATCATAAATATCGTAGAGATTTCAGGAAATATGAGCCAGGATGAGGCACATAGCCTTGAAGCTGAGAGAAAATTAAAACATTAGTCATTAAAACAGAATACTACAGCCAGCAACAAATTACAAATTGATTTTCTATCAGGTGGGGTGCATTTTTATACAATCTGTAAAGAATCTCTTATGATGAAAGTTTAAGAGTATACAAACAATGGAAGGAAACAAAAAACTTAACTAATAGCAAAGAGGAGTTTAGAATGGGAATTGGGTTGGAAATACTATTTCTCACAAGACTGTAGAAAAGTAAATACATTCCTAAGCACAATATACCCTAAAACAATGTCAAGCCAAGAAGTCAATGTAGTCAATGAGGTCTGAAAGGTTTTCTATTCTCAGCATCCTCCAAGAATAATAGATTGAGGTTCCATATCTTTGTGTGGTACACCAGTTCAAAATAAATTCTTAATGGTATAAAAATCAAAATCAAGATCAGTACTTGGACATCACTACAAAAAAAGGCCTTTTTACAGAAAGGGTTTTGGAAAAACTAAGTATCTTTATGAATGACTCCTACGAGGAGAAAAGGAACTAAATTAATTTGAAGGCATTGAAGGAGACTATGCTGGCATGGCCCATTCAATGTAAATCCCATTATAAAATGTATACTCTGGTAAATAAGAAGCTGAAAAACAAAATAATAATCATAATAATAATAATGAGATTCGAAAGCCTACAGTGAACGATAAGTGACATTCAGCAAAATTACTCTGAAATAACTCCACTCTTATAAAAGTGATGTTCAAGAAAATCAATGCATAGTAAATAACACATGAATGTTTACAAAAAAAAAATTAGAAACCATCTTATTGATATTGTAGATTGCTTTTAAAATTAATTTCATTTTTAAGAACTATAATGATTACTCTAAAAATATTAATAATAACTGGCACCTATCTGTCTTTTTGAAGGCCTAATTAAAATCTAAACACGATCAGCTAACACATCATAAAATTAAACATAAAAACAAAACAAACAATATTATTTTCAAAATTGAGAATATAATAAACACTATGAACATATAGAATATTTATTCTTAACCTAAAATTGCTCTTCCTATTTAGAATTCACTTACTAGTAATATTTCATCATAATTTACATAAAAATGCCAAGCAATTATTTATTTATATATTCAGTGTGTTCTTTAATGCACATTCCAATATAACTCCTACATGAAAAATAATACTAGTGACACAAGTAAGTTTATTTGGAAAGTAATTTATCAATCTAAATCATTTCTCATTAATGTTAGAGCAGAAGGTGTGAAACTTGTTCAGCAACTCCAAAATGAACTTACCAACATACAATTGCCACATAAATTAATGAATTGTTCATTGTTTATTTTTAATAGATCGTTACTCCTCTAATAATAGGAACAGTATTTCAAAATAAGAATAATTGTTATTATCATTATTATTATTACTACTCATAAACCAACAGGGAATAAAGGAATACAATCGTATACATGCATACCTTCACTTGTTAGCAGGATCAAAAATAGCAAATCGCAATTCGCAATACGTTCATGATAAAAACTCAACTTCTCCAGTTATTTGACGGAAATTTGACATTGTCCGTTTTATGTTGACGATTTTTTCCACTTATTCCTACTCTGAACACAAATTCATGAATCCAGAATATAAATATCGCGTACCGTGAAGCACGAAACCAAACTGGTGCTTCAAAGCTGTCACGCATCACATATATACAAAGGAAACAGTTCAGGCGAAAAATTTCAAAGATAGGTTTATTTAGAGCTGGAAATCATTTCAAATAGAATATTTTATTACATTAATCCAAAGAAAATTTTACGAAGCCAGTTACTGTTCAGGTACGCTAAAGGCTGAACCAGTAATAATAATCAGTGCCATTCCCTGGATGGTGGACAAATAAAAACCACGAACAGCTGAGAGACAATAGTGTTTGAGAAGTTGCCAGCAATGATAGCTATAGTATGATTTATTTAGTGCGTTTGACGTATATCAGCTGTCCCCAATCATCAACAATCAGAGTTTCATCCAATCGGGAACTATTATGTCGGTACAGGGACGTCACTATGGGGACGTTTAAGCTCCCGATTAGACGAAACTGGGAACAGCTGTTTCACGTCAAGTGCATGGTTAAACAAATCCTAGTGTACCCAATTCCTTTCAGCTGGTTGATTATCATAGAGTTTATCGTTCAACTAAAAAACACAGGAAGACAGTACTAATCGTAAATACGTGAGAATTTGCCTCCCCGGCAACAAACCTCCCTTCGGAAGCTATATTTTCTCCCTCAGCAATTGAATCTAATTTTACTCTTCTGCACATTATTTTATCCATTAATACCAGAGTCGGCGAAAAGTCACTATCTTTCCAACACGTATTGTGTATAGTACCCACAAAAAACAAAATATCCAAACTCAAAATGTCTCGAGTTCCTGTCAATAGTTGTGGAATAACAAATTTGGAGAAAATCAGTTGAACGGTATTGACGACCACTGAAAGACAGCCTGACAGAGAGACAAAGAGATGGACAGACAAACGTTTATCGGTCAATTGATTTTTAGGTATGAAGCATGGATAATGACAACGCAATGTGTTAGAGGAAGTAGTTTACTATAGGTTCGGCAATAAGAGTTTCTGTAAAAAATTCGCCGTTTCCCGGCGCACGATTACAATACTTCCGCTTTATACGAAGTTAGGGTAAGAAAGTAAAAAGTCTCCATTACACCAGGCCTGCACAAGGTCTGCTCCCGCGGGCATTTCCTGGGCATTTCACGGACATTCTGCACTCTATGACCCGACCCGATATACTGTATACTCTCTCGACCCGACAATCTGCCCACGAATCGTGAGTCACGGTGGCGCCGAAAGTGCAAACGGTGGGAGTAGGACGCTTGTCGGGAAGGGGAAGACTGACGTTGCACGACGCGGCGCGTAGATTGAATGCCGGGGCAGCTAAAGCATGCTGTGAAATAATGTCTCACTTATTTAAATGGTTGTGTCCCGTATTTTCAGCTACAAGAGCTATAATTCACTGTTTACGTTATTTTGTGCACTGCTGCGTATTACCTTTGTATCCAACCAGAACCGTCGCGCATTGGTTTGCCGCCCTGGTGACAAGTACATTTTGCTGCTTTCAAAAGGAGTGCTTTAACATACTTTCAATAGTATAAATATTTAGTTGTTTAAAATAGTACTTACTGAAGTGCTAATACAGATTGATTAAATAAATAATATCTATATTCAATATTAAAAAAGGCATTTTTTGAACTTTCAAACTTACTCATTTTTACTTTTACATACTGTACACGTACGTATATACGGAGTAATATACGTGGTATAGGAAGAGTTATGTAATGCTGCTGGAAAAGTTATAAAAAGTGGTTCTTTTCAGAACGTCCATCCACTCGACTGTCCGTCTGCGAACAACATTAGTGCCTAAGCCATACGTGCCATTTCTTCCAAAATATCCATTCCCCAGTCCATCTGTCTCCACTGGGGTCGCCGCGATTTTCAAAACTTTCTTTAAAATTTGGGGATACTTTACTGAAGCTCACCGGACATTTTCAAAATGTTCTCAAAAACGGCTTCAACTTTTTCTTTATATATCTTGTAAAAGTAGATTAAAATTCACTTTCAAAAGTAGCGTGAAGTGAATTTTCGAAAATTTCATAAGTATAATTCTATTGGACTGTCTTCTTACAATTGCAAAATTTAAGATATAGATATTTCCTTCAAATAAAATTTGTTATCCATAGTTTTTTATTAAGGGCATACACATTATTTCAAAATTTTAGTAGTTTTGTCGCAACTTTGCGTGTAATATGTGGATTAAAGAATAACAAATACAATTTTTTTCTCAAAAACGATTCCAATTTTTTTCTTTAAACTTTTGGTGGAGATAGTCGTAAATGCACTCTATAAGTTGACAAAAACGCAATATTGGTCTATAATTTTTTTTTTAATTACAAAAATGTAAATTTTTCACTTGTCTCTCACGTCGTTAATATTTTCTTAGCGGCAATTTGTTCACATTAACGTATTTATGATCACATGTACTTATAATAATGTCAGATAAATTTCTCAAAAAGAGTTTTCTGTCCGTATTTCAGAATCAATCAAACGCCACTTTTTCAAAAATTGCTCCAAATTTTTTCTTCAAACTTTTCGAACAGGCAGTGCTAATTTCACTGTTAAAAATGACATAAAGTTAATTTCGCTGTATTCTTTTGTGCTTCAAAAAATTACAAATGTACTTTTTTAATATATCTTGCGTCGTTAATATGCACATTTCCAGCGATTTGTAAACATTATTGCATTTGTCAGTTAAAATGCCTCAAATTAATTTAAAAGAATTTTTCAAAAATTCAAAAATTATCTGTGAAAAAGCTTCAAATTTCGTTTTTAACGTAACACTCAAACGCCAGTTTCTTAAAAAACGGCTCCACATTTTTCAATTAAAAAACCATTTATGACGAGATTGTACTCTTCTTTAATATTCTTCAATTTCTATAATATTAAGTAATATTTCCGGTCCTACTATTGGGAAACCAGACAATTGCCGGGAGAAATGTCACTATATATATATATATATATATATATACTATATATATATATATAGATTTAATATAGTATATATATATATTAATATATATATTTATGATTTGGCGGCGATTGATGGCTAGCTGGGCAAGAGGAATGGGGCAAGAACGTAAAACCATTCCTGTTCCATTCTCTAGCACCTCTAGTTTTGTTTTGGAAGAATTATATTATTGCCAATTGTCTAAACGCAAAAGTAATACAAAAACTTAAGTGCCATTGGAAATCAACTCCAGGACCATGTGCACGGGAAGTGTATACACCTATTACAGACACTACGCATACAATTATGTAAGTAATGTTTCAGTATAGACTTTTATTAAACATAGCTTTAATTATTTTACATGAATTGCTTACATTTTATTACGTACTAGTGAATCCGGCAATGCTTCGCCAATGCAGTGTATTACACATCACTCACCACTGTTAACGTTCTTGTGATTCATACGACATACCTACATTCTTATATGTGAAAGACTTTCTCGCAAGTATGGGTTTGTTCTATGTCCTGGTTTGGACATGGTTGTCAAATATCCTATTGTTAAAACGTTCTCTCTCAAATTTAGGCATGCATTCAGTATGACACTATCTTGGAAAAATTTGATTTATTTGACGGATATTCAAGTAATAATTCCGTCCGATATTTCACCATCGCAGGGGCAGAATTCTTGTATGCAGTGGAGACGCGCTTAATGCTTTACGGTGCGGCGGGTTGCGTTGCGGGCGGCGGGTGCTGCAGGCGGTGGTGTTGTAAACGAATAAATCATCAACTACGCCCCCATATGTCCGATTAAATTCAAACCACTCTTTAAACACTCATATAACTAATAAGAACAATGAGTAAAACTTCCAGCGAAATCGGTCGAGTAGTTTTTGTGTTTACATGCCACACACATACGCACATTTCCTTTTATTTATATACAGATTAGTGTTCTGAATTTTGGGAATGACATTTTTACCATTCGATGGAGCTGCAACTTTCAGTTTGTCGAGGCACTAGGCAAATCTACGGTCTCGCTTAATTCCGTCAGGCGTCACTCCAGAACACCCGGCAACAATGCCGCTCACACACATAGAGGATTGCATTTAACTACCAAACATCATATTTTGGGGTAACCTTTTGAATCATAACTACGCTATTTACACTTTTTGGCCGTACAAAAGTATTCGTGCAAAATTTGATCAATTACTCTGTCGATTCTAAATTTTGTGCAACATATTAACATACGTACTCTCACTTTTACATTACAAACAAAGAAACGGACGTACAAACAAATATACACTGAATCAACAATTATATTGTGAGTAAATGGGTAAAAAAATTGAAACGTAAAACATCAAGTACGCAGGTGTGGAATATCATACACAACTAGTGATGCTGAACAGAATACACTTTCTCACATTATTTTTAAAGACTCCGAAATATTATGCAACCACGTGGAATAGAAAAAAGTGTTTTCAACTATAATTTTGTTTTTCCGTACCGAAACTTGAACTCAAGTACTCCAAGTTAACTCATTGGGCGCCTACGTCTACGCCATGGTTTGACGCTCCAATTGAGACCGACTCTTCTAATTCTAACCATTTCAACCGAATATTTCCAACACGAAATTTTTAAAACTCAGATTGATCAACGAAAATGGTACCTTCACGATTATTTTAAGGGTCCATTGTTCATTCTTTAAAGTGTCCCATGAATAAAATTCAAGAAAAAAAATGGAGAAATTGTGAGAAAATTATCTTTTCAACATTTTTAAAACACGTGAATGACCTGTTTTTAAAGAGCTGACGTTTTAAAACATATTTTATTTAAGGAAAAAATATATGCTTTGAATTTCATAGTTTTGAAATATTAACTTTTTGCAATTTTCCAAAATACGGATAGTTCGCCGAAAATGGGACTAACATACTTTTTTACCGTCCTTTGAAACATACAAGGAGAACATTTAAAGAAAAAATTGAGGCCATCTTGGAGCAAAATGTGTAAAAGTTGCCTGTATTTCACGCAAAATTACATGAAAACTACTCTTACTTTCGAAAACTTTTGCACGACCTTATTTAAAAACCTGCCCTTGATAAATAGATCCCATTAAGGGAAAAAAATCTATTTTCAATATTGTAGTTGTGGGAAGACACCCAATAAAATAGGACTTTAACAATTTTTGAAAAATCGGAGATCACAGCGAGTATGAGGCCTGCACCATTCTCTTAAGCATGCTTTGCGCTATCCGAGGACAAAGGGTAAACAAAAAATTTGGAGCCATCTTGAAAAAAAATTTAGAATGTTCTTGAGACTTGATGTAAAGTACCCTCAAAAATCAAAATATCCGTTTGAAACTCCCGAAGCCTTGAGTTCGTTCTAATAGATCTGAGAATATCAATTTTGGAGAAAATCAGCCGAACGGTTTAGGCGCTAGCATTGACTACAGACTGGTGTTTTGCCGTCGATCCATTTTTTGATATCAATGACCCGCAAAACCTGAATTTTGTCTATGCCACGTGTTAGAGAAAGTAATTTACTATGTATAAAATGTTATAATTGTATGTGTAATAATTCACTTTTTCGTTTCCATGGTCTGAAAATAATTTCTTTTTAAAAAATTGTTGCCTCTTAGTCATTTATATCATTATTAATTGATGCAACGCATCTCAAAGTCCCTGATCGAGCGGAGAGCGCTTTTACAGAGAAATCCTCAATTAATATTTGTTGTATGTCTCGTCTCGTCGGTCAATCAGAGGACCGCCAGATAGCATCTTTGCCTACGCGCCTCTTACAACACGTGTTTCAAATGTTTCATTTACAATGTTTGTTATTTTTTATTTATTTATTGAGTATTATCTAATTTCGGGGATGATGCCCCTCCCGAATATCAGTTGGTGGGCCGGCCGAGGGGTCTGGGGCCTGCATCCCAGAAGATATACTCTTTGCTACATCCATGAAGCAAGCATTGATTCCATGCGGAACCTTGCATCAAGCCTGCGACGCATGGAATTGGCGCCTACAATTTTGATCTTAAATTGATACGACTGCATTGCGCCAAGTCACCGGCAGTTGTCCATGGAGTTTTGAATTGTAATAGTCATGCACTACAATATATTCATGGCCCCATGATCATGTCAACGTACAATTGAGTTTCCATTAACATTTTTGAGACATAGTTAATTCTGATCTTACACTGTGGTTACGACTGTCAGTTTTTGACTACATGATGCTAACTGATCTACCTTCCTTGAATTCACGAAATGTTATAAAAATAGGGGAATATATAGCTTCCATAATAAAATATTCAAAATAAACAAGTATACTCAGCAACGAATTGTTATTCTTAAAACTTTTTAATATATTCGTGATGTGAGTATTATTTGTTCATGCCACGCAAGACGTGATTATGATACGCGGGATGTACGTCATTCTTTGATTACGTGTTCCCAAGCATGTTTCGCTCCGTTGCCACCATTGTACTCCGTGCATTTCCAGACTGTACAGTTTGCGTTGCTTTGTCTCGATTGTTTACTTCATTACTCTGTGGCTCCGTGGTTGCTGCTGCTGCAGTAAATAGCCAACATGGCGGTTATGTTACTATACGGGATGAGTGAGATAAAATTCTTCTGAAACACACTTCGTACATTTAGGAAAGGTTGAATATGCCAACAAAGGTCTCCAAGAAGGTGGTGGGAATGATAATAAGAAGTAGGAAAACTATAATGAAGGATGGCGTAATGACGGTAAGTTGCGGGTCTAGTGGTTCTGCAGTGATTGAGTTTCTTGTAAGTTTTCCTCGTTATTTACGTTTTTACGTAAATGAATCATATAGTATTTGTCGTACTTGAGCCTGGACGGGCTGAAGACTGATAGAGCGTGTAGTGTCAGTGTATGTTTTGCACCATTACTTAGCGAGTACGTGTGTGAATTCGTGTGACAGTGCTTGTTTTTAGTGTTGTCATTACTTGTCTTACGTGTACGTACTGAGTCATAAATGAATGAAATGTTAAACGGAACGTTTTCACAATTTTGCAATAAAATGTACTCACGTGGCTTGATAATTGTTGGTTAACGACTTGTGTAACAAAAGCAATGAACAAACGTTTTTTTCTGGGCAAAAACCATCACAAACATATGCATCTTACCAATTGTGAAGAGCGTTATATATTTATTGGAAAAGATTGTTAATGCAGATGATTGTGTAATTATTTTGCAATCTTTTAATTGTATTTCACGTAAGGTTAAGTGAATGATTTAATGAGACATGTCACCACATTTTACCATATCTTTTGTGCAGTGCTCAAATAAAGGATAATGTTTTAAAATTTTAAACTTGTAGGGAGTTCAGTTTCTTTGTATTTTAAGATATTAAAACTGTAGGGAACAATTTTTGCTTTGAAATGTTTAATATTTAAGTCGTCAAATATTCAAGGTAATGAACTTCATTTATTGAGCTGCAAGCTAGTATTAAACCTTCTACAATGGAGAAGTCTTGAGATAGATCATTTTAAAATAAAAAAATTACGAAGCCTTTGTGTCAAAACAAGGCTGCTGCAATCAAGTGTACAAGAAAAGGTAATTAAATTAAAATGAGAGAGAGAATTAAAATTACAATTTGAAACCTATAATTCTCTAAATCAAGTCGTATTATTTTTCTTTTCAGCTTTGTTTTTTTTACTTATGCCAGTAGGTTCTTCAATAATATAAAAATTGCATGTATGTGTGTGTTGCATGATATTCTCTCTCATGTTATTCACACACTGAAATTTCACTTTTCCAGCATGAATGACAGCCCTTGTTTCAACTGTCAATTTTTTCTGTATTACATTGATTAGCTATAAAAGCAAGAAAGCATTGTTATTAGATTGCAGTTAGTCTATACTTTCTCTTACAACCTCACACATTAATTCAGGCTTACTCTTCATCTCTTGCTGTTACTCTTTACACCTACCTACACATTTATCTTTTTTATGAATATTTAGTAATTCTCATTTGTATAAGTTACGGTTATTTGTTTCATTATTAATGTCAATGTTAACTATTCTTTATATTTACAGTGTAAAGTTATCTCTTCAATGTCTTGAATTCACTAATTATTTTAAATTTTAACAGTCAAAGATTCAATATAAATATTTACTCACTCTGATATTTTGCTTGATTTTATGTGCTACTGGAAAAAATGTGGCACCTAACTTTTTAATTGCATTGTCTTAAACAAATTTAGAGAGAATAGAAACAAGGAAATTTGTGGAAGAAATGGAATTTTTAAAATTTTAATTGAAAATGATTTTATGGTGTTCTTTACCTCAAAAGTTAGGAAACTTAAAATAATCTATATTTTTGAGTGTACTCCGTTATCCAAGTGTGCCTCTCAGATTTTAGGTTATTCTATTTTTTTCAAAACATAATTACTGTCAGCAAATCAACTTAACTTGGTTCAGCTTTTCAGTTGAATTAGATTCTTTTGTATTTCCTTTGGATGGAGTACTTTACCTATTCCCATATGTAATGAACAATTATTCTTCAATCATATGTGTTGTCAATACCCAATATAATTGATTTTTATATCTGATCTTCGTTAACTGATTCCATGATGTAGTCCACCCCAACCCTTCACATTTTTCTGGCTTTCCAGCTTGATGCTGTTTGAACTATTTTACTCCAGTTTTTTCCTTGCTTTTTTCTAGGGGATACTTTGTCTGACCTTGTGTCCCAAACATGTTTCTATTTTGAACCATTCTATTGGACACCTTGGCCATGAGTTCCCTCACAACTTGTGCCATGGAATAGAACATTTCAAGAACATGATTTTCATAAATGTACTTAATTAGACAGTGATCCCTTATTTTCTTATTTAATTTTGTTTATTTTATTGCAGTCTGATCCCTTATTCACAGTACATAGATAGTACATTTATTTTATATTTTTTAACTGAAATATTTTATATATACACACACACACATATATACCTTGTTATGCATTACCCATTATTAGGATAGTTTCCTCTCAATTATGAAACTCAAAGTTGTTGGTATAAATAGCACTACAAACCAAGTACAATAATACAAATCAAAGAGGAAATGTTAAAGAGCAAGCAAGATATGAAATAGCTCAATTACCCTTGCTTGTTTCTAGTTAGAGGTTAATTATTCATCATGGCTTTTATTCATTTCCTAAGTATAGTTATAGATAATAGTTTTCTTAAAGAATGATTTATTTGCTTTTTTCCCTCTACCCTGACAAGTATCATTTAAGAATTGGTGAAAAAGTAATATACCCCCTATGTTTTATCTGCTTAATATTTAAAGACAAACAATTGGATGAATACTCTAACGGACATCTTTCTCTTTATGAATGTAAAAAGGGGGAAACTAAACACTTATTTAGAATATACTGTTTAAATCAACTCTACCTCTTCTTTATAAATATTGCACAGTTTGTACAAACTTGTTCAGAGACATTTTTGAGATGCTTGTCAAAATGTGTGCATGTAAATAATAATAAATTTTATCTGGATGAATGTCATTAATCCAGGAATAGTTTTGTAATATACAGGTATTGGGGGTGAAAATAGGGAATAATGGTTTTGGATTACTTGGTGGTTTTTGTTAGAATTCTTGTAGGGTTTTGATATAATTTTTTAATAAAAATTCATTGTTTCATGTATGGTCTGAAATGTTTTTTCCAGTATGCGAATTTGTAATTCAAGAAATATAATTAATGATTAAAAATGAAATCGTTTGTATTTCCAATACAAATATATTACATTCAAGTATTCATCATTTTGTACTGATGACATATTCTGTTAATTTTCTGTATCCATTGGTAGTGCTGGCTATTGACAAATTCAGTGGTTGGTGGATAACAGTGTCTCATGTGTAAAAATAAACTTAAGGATATTAAAATGTTTAGACTGAAATGAGAATTCCTTTGTATTGTAATTTGTTAATCATGAAATTTACAAACACACTCATTCAGAGAATAATTTTTAAAGGAGGACAATTTTGAAAGCTGTGTCTAGGACTGTCACATCAGGTGAAGAGATCAGTGATTGAAATCATGATTTTTACTTTATATCTTTGTTGGTAATTCTGCTATCCAATTAGAAAACTTCTTTCAGAGTTTGGGATTCCAGTGATTCTTTTATAAATTTTCCCTTTTTCATTATTCATTCTCCACTGTAATTATTCATTCTCCACTGTAATTATTCATTATTGTAGCTGTTCATTAATTATTCATAATAGTGTGTAGTAAGAGAGAGTAGGGATTCTGGAACTTAGGAAGACATATTCACCTGCGTACATCATTTTTGACTTGTCATTCACATTTGAAATTGTGTATGTGACTCAATGAATATTATTATTATTATTATTATTATTATTATTATTATTATTATTATTATTATTCCTCTACTTCACGACTAAAAATGTTATAAGTTGGTTGAATATAAAATCTACTGCAGGTTGCAACCTGCCTCCTATGGAGTAGATCTAGGAACTGGCAGTACTTCTACAATACTTTGTGCAAATATGGGCTGATTCAAATAAAGCAATATCTTGCACTTCCCAGTCTTTTGAATGACGTGGGTATTCAGCCAAGTTCTTACATCATCATTATCATTATTATTATTATTATTATTATTATTATTATTGTGTTTTATCTTTCAAAACAATTGTTTTCACTTGTTTAATCTATTTTCAAGCCCCTTTTTCATTTCTTTCTTTTTATCTTTCCTTGTCTTTCTGTGTTTGTTGTTTTACCCTGAGAAATCTCTTGTAATCTTGATACTACAGTTTGAATTATGAAGCTTGTATCAGTTCACTTGACTGTGTTTCATGAGTGTTTTGGCACTTTATTTTACCCTCCTGACTATGAAAAATCCTAAACATTTCAAGATCTTTTTGTGGCAACTTTATTTGTGTAAAAGTATATCAAATTTTACAAAACAAATACAAATTGCATGAAGAGTAATTTTGGAATGCATGTAATGTTTGTGCACCTATCGAGTAAATATTATATTTAGTTCACTGCTTACATGGAATATTTGTCATTTTTATTCTTATTCTCTTGAAAATGTCACATTCAGTCTTGTAATAAGTAAATATCTTTAGTATATATATGTACCCTGCTGGGGAGTAAGAGTAAATGTCCAAAAAGCAATCTGTTTTTTTTTTACAATGCATTTTACAGACCACAAGCTATACATAGATATAAAAGTGTAAATATGAATAAAGATGTGCCTTATAAATTGGAAACTTCATAATATAAGAAAATACAAGAATTGAACTGCATTTGAAGCTGTAAACATTTCATAAAAAGTAGATTTAAAAAAAAAAATGTCTCTTTATCCTTAGGGCAATAAACATGTTATATATTACTTTGAAGATGGTGTGCAAGTTGTTTTGGAAACACATTTTCAAAAATTAGTGACAAAATTCTATAATTTGCAGAATTGAGTAATTTTTGTGTGAAAATAAATGTGGTCAAATGGTACAAGTATGTGCCATGGTATTCTACTATAGGTCAAGCATGTTTTAGAGATAATGCCTTCAATCACCTCCTAGGAGAAATTTCATGGATTGAATGAGAATAGAAGGATAGGATCCGTTAGAAAGAATCGGTCAAATTCATGCTTGTCCAGTAAATGTATACTCTGGCAAATAGCTGTACCTTTTGACAGTACTTTTGACTGTTTGTAAAAATTACACTTTTTCATTTTCATTAGCCTGTGCTTCATTTTCAGACTTCTGGGATTGGTGAACCTAGTGTATACCATGCCTTGGTGGTTATCTTCTTGGAATTCTTTGCTTGGGGACTTCTCACAATGCCCATCATATCTGTAAGTTTTTATAAATGCAGACTTTTTTGTATTCCCATAAATTATTTCGATGTTAAAACATATTTTGAAAAAACAAGTAAATTGTATTATTAAATTTTTCATTATAAAAATGTTTTCAATATCAGAGTATTCAGGGCAGTAGGTTTAATTTAAAATAATTTTAGAAAACTCCCTCTTCCTTGACTGTTTGCTGCTGTGAATAGTGAAGTATTAAAACGTGTTGCAGATAGAAAACTAAAAAATTTGCATTCTACATGATGGTTCATGTTCAATGGGTTGAGGATTGTCAGTAGTTGCCTCTCGAAAAAAAAAAATTAATTCTACAATTGTTTGTAATTAATGTTTTCCTCTAAGGAATCTGGACACATTAGCTACATGCAAAATGTACAGATTTATCTTGTATAGTAGTATGGTAGATAATTTGAAGTTGTTTTAATTACATTTTTATTCCATATCACATCAGACAATTATTTTGATTGATATTTGAACATTCCTCTTGTGCCATTTTATTCTTTCCTTATCAGACATTATGACCTTGTCTTGTCAAACATCCACACGGTCAAATATTGCTCTTTTATTTTTTAAGTTCCTCTCATGCTCAAAATTTTCTGAAAAGCATTTGAAATATTGATAAATGTGGAAGTCAGTTTTAGGAAATCCCACCCCTCTCCACGTGAAAATTCTCTAATATTCTAGGCAATAAATTTAAGTGGTTCAAGTTCATTTTCAAGGTCTCCCTGTTACCCACTCATGTCACCATGCTCTCCTTTTACCTGCACTCTAGTAGGAATTGTCCAACTTTACCTGCTTATTGGGATGGGATTATGTGGACATGTCCACCAAGTGGAGAGGGAGGGGAAGAAACCCAGCTAAATAAATTACTTTCACTGTAGCGATTTTAGTGATTCAGAGTCAGAAAATATGTTTTTGTTATTTAGAAGCTTTTATTTATCTAACTGTTTGCTTTTCTCTTTTAGGTTCTCAATGAGACATTTCCTGATCACACCTTTTTAATGAATGGTTTGATTATGGGTATTAAGGTAAGCTTTTTTCTTTTTCTTTTTTTTTTTTTTTCTTCTCCTCCTCCATGAACAATTAATAAATATGTATATTGAGTTCAAACTCCACAATGTATTATTATTATTATTATTATTATTTTTATTATTATTATTATTATTTTATTAATATTGACAAATAATAATAATAATAATAATAATAATAATAATAGTAATAATGATTAATGATAATAATTTTATACTCAAAGGTGTCGTGGCTGCTGCTTCCGTCAGTTCCATTATGTCCTTTTTGTCAATGGAAATTAATTCTTAATTAAACACAGTCTCTCATGATATTTGTAATTGTTATGTCAATGTTATTTGTAGGGCATGTATAGAACATTATAATGTGACAGTGTTTTTGAATACCAATTTTAATAAGTTTCTACTATTTTGAAAGAAAAGTGAATTTGCCTTGTTGATTGCTATTCACATTTTATATTATGTGTTGAATGCTTTTCAAATGTTTTGTACAGGATTTTTGTACAGTATATATTGTGAAAAGTATTGTTCGTTTTGGGATCTTAATGTGCCATCCTCTTTGCAAAAACATTGGGTCAAATTCATACATGTTAAATTCTTGTTTAATCTTCTGTTAAATACCATTACATTTTTGTTATCTTTTCAGGGCTTGCTCTCATTTCTAAGTGCTCCTTTAATAGGTGCACTCTCTGATGTGTGGGGGAGAAAATTTTTTTTATTAATAACAGTGTTTTTCACTTGTGCTCCCATTCCCCTTATGACAATCAATACCTGGTAAGTTAATAATTTTAATGATATTTTCTCTTCTTATAATCCAAATTCTGTTTTTTTAGTCTTGTGATACATATGTATGAAATCTGCCTGTATGCAAATTTCATACATGTTTTTGTTTGTGTACATTTTTTGGTGGATTGTGACTTGGTCACTCAATGTGCAAATTTCTTTAATTAAATTTAATAGTGATATGTATACTGTTTTATTGTTGTGTATCCTCAGTCCTGAAATTCAAAGTAATTTTCTTTTGTAGGTGGTTTTTTGCCATGATCAGCATATCTGGAGTGTTTGCTGTTACATTCTCAGTTGTGTTTGCATATGTGGCTGATGTTACAGAAGAACATGAACGTAGCCTAGCTTATGGCCTTGTAAGTTTGATATTATACTAAGTAAGCAAAACAAAATGTGCAAGAATGCAAGTACACTTTTGTCTTCATGATGAAAACAAAGATAAAGTTACTGCTGTAGTCCTTGGAGATTTCTAGTTAGCAAAGCCTTGGGACACCAGAGGGGCTATTTAAAGTTATTTAAAATTATAAGACTTGACATTGTAATTATTATAAAGAATGACCTATTTATTACAGACTTCAGTATTTTCTTAACAAATGTACATACAGTAAATTGCAAATGTTCATAGAGATGCTTCTTGAGATCATATTAAGTCAAACATGAATGCTAAAATGAAAAGAATGTAATTAATTTAAACCAAAGGTAACAAATTTGAAGTATAAAATAACATAGAATTTAGGCCTAATTTCTTTGAAAACAAAGTATTGAGTTCATGTATCAGATGGTGATTAATATCATATTTATTCCAATAGTTTTATGGAAATAGGATGAAAGAAAATACAATTTTTATTTTTAAAGAATCAAAAAAATCAAAATTTCAAATAGGGAAATATAACTTATTTATTCAATTGTTGTCACCCTGTTACTTCATTGGAGAGGCAATTGCCTCTAAGGTGATAGTTACAATTGAATTTCATATAATGGTCTATAAAAATTATTCAAATAATTAGTCAGCTTCGAAGCCCAGTGGTTTTGTGCAACTGAGCAAACTCGTATCTTGTTTTGAATTATACTCGAAGGTCACTTGGTTCGGGTTCAATTGTTTTTGTACACTTAAGCAATTAATTAATTTGTGTGTGTGCTTTTAGTGAAAAGGAATATTAATATGATTTTTTTGGAAATTTAATGTGATTTAAATCTGTATTTTAAATCATTTTTATCAGTGGTAAAAAGTAATAGTATTTTAACATCAACATTTTCTGTTCATTAGGTATCTGCTACATTTGCAGCTAGTATGGTTATTAGTCCAGCTTTGGGAGCCTATATGATGGGTGCATACAGTGAAAACTTGGTTGTGGCTCTTGCAACGGCTATTGCCATATTAGATGTATTTTTCATTCTTGTTGCTGTACCCGAATCATTGCCTGAGAAAGTGCGTCCTTCCTCTTGGGGAGCACCCATTTCATGGGAACAGGCTGACCCATTTGCTGTAAGTAGTTCCGATTCCCCTAACAAAAACTTTTACATTAACTGTATTGAACATTGCATTTTGTTTTAGTGACAAAAAGGGATTAACAACTATCTTTTAAAGTTCATTAAAATGTTTCTCTTTATCTGTAATCATCAAATAAATTATCTTTATTCTCCAATTACATGTATAACTGACACACGATCAAAAGTTAAAAAGAAGAAAAAAAAGTATGCAACTAACATGTTAAAATAATATACTTAATAAAATGCAATGTTGTAAAATGTTTTTAATGAATGGTTTTCCACCTACTCTCATATTTACTCATTGATAAACTAGAAACTTCAACAAAATGTCATCCAAATAATGAAATATCATGAAACAGTCCAAAACACTTCCTAATCTATGTCCTTGCAATTGCAATCCTGTAAACAGATGTATTAATGTTGTATATTATTATAAAAAGCTACCAATAACTTGTTTCAATGGTTTTGCCATCCCAACTGCAAACAAAACTAGAGTTACAAGTGTGGCTACATTGCATGGCTACGTAAAACCATTCCAACTTCAAATGAAGGAATGTTTTATCTATACTACTAAGTAGTTTTGCTCCATACTTGAATATATAATACTGTGGCATATTAGTGTTCTAAAATGAAAATGTTAATTATTTTTTTCATACACTAGATGATACATTGATTTCTTAAATAATGGAACATTTTATTTGTTGTAGGCGCTGCGAAAAGTTGGAAAAGACCATACAATACTGATGTTGTGTGTTACAGTATTTTTATCATATTTGCCAGAAGCTGGACAGTATTCCTGTATTTTTGTGTATCTGAAATTGGTAAGTTTGTTATTCATAGAATGAGGTGACATTCTACAGTGCGACCATTTTATAAATATGCCGGTCACATGGAATTTGGCCTCGACTAACGAGGCCATGGATGCCGGGGAAATCGAGACAGCCTGATTAGTAAAATTTCTGAAAAGGGAAGGTGGCTTTTCGCTGCCAGAAAGTTTAAATTGTACCCAGGTTATAGCAGATGCTGGAACTGCTCACTCAACTGAAACATTTTTGACGTCTAAGTAAGTTCTGGTTCACTTGGTAAAGGATGTCCTGCAGTATTGCAGAGATCTGGTCTGATTTATCTATTTTGTGCCTTAATTCTTCTTTATGCGGATTTATCACACATATAAAATCTTTCAGGAATATCCAAAGAAAGAAATTGCACGGAGTCAGATTAGCAAAGAGTGCAGACCATAAACCACATGTGATAATTCTGTCTCTTTAAACAGAATGTATACCCTTAAGGAAACTGAAGCAGTGTTTGTGGTAGTGGAGTCCTATTGAAAATGACCATAATTACGCTATTTGACAACCTTTGGAAGAAAGACTCCAGGATACACTGCACATAACAGTTTGACACTTTTTGCGTGTGTCATTTGCAAACCTTTTCTGTTTGAGAGTGAACTTCGAGCGAGCAATCAGAAACCATCTATTCAACAAGGAAACTGAAAATTATGCCTTTTGTAGGGCGAGGCCTTGAAATGCAGTTTTCCCAGGGGGATTCAGACCACCATTCCCTGGCGAGTAAGGGTCTGTTTGCTGGACAGAATTTCTCATGATTGCGGCACACTTGTAAAACAGTCGCATTGTATATTATCAATATCTGGGTTATTAAAAAAAAGGAGTTCATAAGCATAAAAAAGTAAACCGTAGATGTTAATTAAAATACTTTTTTCCTCTCTCCAGTTCAAATGAATAAATTGTTTTTAATGTGTATCGTGCTCTCTTTGTGCTGGAAGCACCTATTCACTGAAGTGTTCATGTTAAACATCTTATGGGCTTTCACTCATACCCGAGTTATCTTTAAGCCTCCTTTCTTGATTTCTATGTACAGTATTGGTGACACTTCATTTAGGAGGATCATTTCTTCCCTCTGCAGTCCCCACTTTTTGGCTTTTGCATGTTCTCCTCTTGCTACAGATATGTATGAGAAAATTAAACAATTACTATTGGTGTATTGTTAACAGGGAGGGAGGAATGAAGTGAGAGAGTTGTAGGGCAACTAGAACATTTGAGCAACCTGTCCCGCTGTGACTAGGGGCTAAACCGTTCAGCTGATTTTCTCCAAAATTGATGTTTTCCTATCTATTTGGCTGATGGCGTGGCCCCTTGAATTTGAAACTGATATTGTAATTTTTGGTGGTACTTTATATGAAGCCCCTGGGACGTTTTGAAAATTGTCAAAAATAACGGCCCCATTGTTTTTGATTACATTTTGATGTTGAATAGCATGAAGGATGTTTAAGAGAATAGTGCAAGTCTCATTTTTGTTGAAAACTGATTTTTTGACACTTGCAACAGGTCAAACTTTCTGTACCTTTGTACAACTACAATTATGAAGATAGAGATTTTTCCCTGAATGAAATCTGTTCCTTAAAGATAGATCATGAAAGAGGGTCATGTATAATTTTTCAAAAATTTGATTTAATTTTGTGTGAAGTAGGAAGAGAAAGTGTGTGCTGTTTTAGCTCCACTAATGTGTATTAATTTCTTTTCAATTGAGTTTTAATGTATTATTTATTATTTTTAGAGTTACAATGTATTTTTAAACAAAATCTCTGGAAAAAAGTATTTCCTTGATTTTACATTTTTTTTTGACCAGTCCCCAGAGAGGTGTAAAATAGGCGTTTCACTCGATTTACCACAATAAATGAAGTAATAAAATAGCAAAAATAAGGTTTATTTCTTTTAATTCACTTCCTACTTGTCGTGGAATAGAAATAAATTTTTCCGTACATTCTTCTCTGATATGCAAGTTTTGTTTCTGTTCTAACTTCCCATCTTACAACATTTTAAGATGTCCATTCAAAAAGACATGTGCTTTTATAAAAGTTAACTCTATTACAATGTTATTTGTTTGTAAGATGGTAACATTAGGCATAATTTTTGTTGATGCATTGAATTACTTGGATGTATTTCTCCCAGTTAGTGTTAAATAATGCTGTTTACAACCAAGTAAGACACATCTTTATGACTGGTAATTTGCAAAGGTTCATCTACCATTATATCTGTGTAAGTGACTGCACACAGAGAGTTTAAAAAAACCCTTTTTCCTGCTATTAATTAGAATATTAATCTCTGAAAACAAATCTCTCTTTTTGCCAGATAATTCAAATTATGAGCCACACAATTTACAGGAATTAAATTTTTTTAAAAGGCCTTCAGGCGTGGATCAGCAGTAGACATGTATCTGTTTGTTACCAACAGTAAAACTCTTGTCTTTCGTATTCCAATCATTCCATTTTACTTTAAATCCATAATCTTTATTTTTATCTTGATATAGGACTTTCAAACATCAATTGTTTCATCAACCATCACATGAAAAAAATTCTGCCGATTCTATCTTATAATAAATGCAGAGTTTTTTTCGTAGCACTGGTGCAAGTGTGCTTTCATCCTAAACAGTTTTGTTGGTGTATTGCTTGAGAAAACTTTTAAATATGGCATTTTTCATTTTACTCAAAGGCATGTTCTTTGTAGATTCCTTGTGTTTATTTATTTATTTATTAATTTATTTATGCTCAGCAGCAAAAGCTGATAATCATATCTTTACATTTGTTTTTCAAGTTTACATCAGTATAAAATTACAGTAAAAATTAATATCTAGGTAAATTTATATCTCAAACAAAAGTCTATCCAAATATGTCCTATTCAATTTATCATGTGTCATAATTAGGGTTAAAATTGGGATAACATGTACCTATCTATATGTATTAGAATAGACCGAAATATGCACCCAGAAGTAAAAAAAATATGTAACCTTAATTATCATTATATCAATTCTCTTTTTATTATACTTTTATTTTAGTATGTATTGTTCTGTTCATATAATATAAGGACCAAAATGAACCATTTTACTCCTCGTAATTCTATTATTTACAATGATCTCTGTTATTGTAATAAATAAATATTTGACTAAAAGACCATTCCACAACACACAGTCGCCAGTGCATATTTAAACTTCTTCGGCAAATAGTCAGTATCCAGTGTAATGATTAGTCCCCTCACAGCACTACACTAATAGCACAAATTGGATAGAATCCTGGTTTTTTCTCCAGTTCAGTGTTCTCACAGATTAGCGAATAAAACCTGCTGGTTCAAATTTGACCAATTGATCCTATTAATGCCTCTTATGATGTTCTTATCTGAACTGATATTGCCAGACTGCTCTGAGAAGTTGTACTTGCCAGTGCCCAATTCTCACTCAGCGGTGCCATTATCCCATATTGTTTAATCGAAAAGCTTCATTTCCTTATCTTGATTTTACTTCATGTTTTGGGCCCAAAGAGATGATATACAAAAGACGGCAGATGCTGGCTTATGGCACTCGGGGGAAAAAATTGTCAACCACCCTTCCTGAGCTGGTGAATGTGGTTTCTGGTGAAGAGTTTCAGGGTCAATGGAGACCTACAAAAGATGCAAAGTGGGTGTGAGATATTGCCTGCTAAACATGTCATTTCCACAAATAAAACTTACTTCCTGTTCTTTACTATACTGACAGTGAAATGTAACACATCAGAAGATAAGGATTGCTTGCCCTTTTATTTGCAAATCTGTCGGAATTTATGGAAAGATTTATTTCAATGCAATGCCATAGCAGCATTTTAGAAAGGAGGCTATGCAAAAGATTCTTGACAATCCTAATTTGTGTGTCTGGGGTGATACCTTATCAAAAACATTGCAGGAAGATGGAATTATTCATTAATATGTAAATATTTGAAATTTGATGTATAATGTGTAATTATATGTTCTTTTGAGTAATTTTTGCATCAAAAAGTTAATGTTTTTACAGACACATCAATATAAAACATGATGTATCGTTGATTCTACTTGACAGAGATACATTAAAAAAACAGTTATTACATAATTATCCCGGCCCTAGTCATAATATTAACACGCGTCATAAATGAGTTCAGTCTCTCTTTGTTAGTATATTAAGATTTTTCAGAGAAATGTGGTCACCTGAAATTAAAAATAATTTATTTATAATTACTATTAATATACAATTAATTAACAAAATTTACTTACTCTGTTCAGTAATGAAAAAAATAACTTTGTTGGTATGTACGGGTAAAATTCCTATGTCTGAAGTTTACGCCATAAACTAGTGTGAACATGACCGTCCGTCCGTCTGCCCGTCCGTCCGTCCGTCTGCCTGCCCGTCCGTCCGTCCGTCCGTCCGTCTGCCCGTCCGTCCGTCTGCCCGTCCGTCCGTCCGTCTGCCCGTCCGTCCGCCCGTCTGCCCGTCCGCCCGTCCGTCCGTCCGTCCGTCCGTCCGTCCGTCCGTCCGCCCGTCCGCTTGACTCTCCGTGTCTCACACATTTCCTAACTAAGGAAGAAATATGTATATGTCGTGTAATATGGTACTTTATAGTAATTTTTACTTGCTACTGCTGGAAAATGGGCTGTAATAACAATTGTTTTGTCATAACAATTTTTCATTTGATCACATCTATATAATAAGAATGTCTAATGTACAATATTCTGTTTCATATAATTATATTTTTTTCTTTACATATCATATTTTTCAGGTAATGGATTTCAGTGTTGTCATGGTTGCTGTTTTTATTGCAACAGTGGGTATTTTATCAGTTGGTGCCCAGATAGTCCTGGGATTTTTGATGAGATCACTTGGAAGTAAACATACTATTATGGTTGGATTAGTATTTGAAATGCTTCAACTTATGTGGTATGGTTTTGGTTCTCAGACATGGTAAGTTACACATTTCTTAAAATTTTGTATTTTTTCCCTTTATCAATCGCATTCTCTCTGAAAAAAATCAAAAAAATCACTGGTTCATTTGAACGTAATGAAATGACTTCACAACAATGCATGTCTGCAAACATGGAAATGCAATCATATGCAAACATGGAAAAAAGAAATCATTCAAACCAGTGGAAGGAGATTGGTATCCTTTTCACAAAAATAATCTTTGCAACATGCATGCTTGACAAATAAAGGAGGAAATCAAACAAACAAGTAAAATAGAAAGAAGATTCATGGAGGTCCAGGAGATAAACTCAGGACTTTAAATTAGGTTGCAATAGCTATTAACATTTGTATTGACGTTTGAACAGAGTTTTCTCTATCTACACTATTTATTTAACACTTTACTCTTCTATATCAAGTGTGGTTCAACATTGAAAAATTGGAACTTCTACTCCAATGTTGGGTCGACATATACTTTTCATCTTTTTCTGAGCTCTGAATTCATTTGAATTTTGACAAACTGTACTCAACTGTAGAACAAACCATTGATACTTCATGCCCATTGCTTTATGATTTCGGATTGTTAGACTGTATTAGACTACTAATTGGATAAATCTATCTTGTTATAGTCCAGGTACACATGTTCCATATCATGTTATGCTACAACAATAGCTACAGTGTGATGAACCAAATGGGAAACTTAAGTTTGATTTTTCATGTCCAAAGTTTTTGCCGAAGAAAGATGCCAACCATTACAGAACATAGGAGTGTGAATACTGTGAACAATGCCAACAATGCAAATGTTAGGTTTGATTTACGCCATTTCAAGTTGTCGATGATTTTTTAGTCTTAACTGGTTAGAAGTGTAGTGACTAGTTTTTAAAACATAATTCCTTAACCAAAATTTACTGAAAACTTAGAAATTGCCAAGGTGTTGCGAGCACGCCGAGGTAGCACATGAAGGTAATTTAAATAAAGAGTAGAAGAAAATGAGTAACCCAAAGGATTAGGAGCGCAAAAGGGATAATAATTTGAAATTTTTTTCACGCTTTAGAAATTACATGAAATTGAAGAGTAGAATCTTGGGAGTGGAAACATCTAAACTGTGGAGATTAGGCTGAATTAGTGTCAGTGGAACAAAATCGACATGATCTTTGGGAATCTTTAGTTCTCAAATTTTAATCCTTCTGTGTTAGTACAATGTAATAAAATAATTACGAAAACACATCTTATTAGTTTAATTATAAATATGAGACTTTATTAATTGAAATGTAGATATCAACACTTGCAACACAAGGAATGCTCACAGATAGTAATAAGCCTTAAAATAAAATTTAAAAAAATAAATTTCCTATCCTATTTAGTAATTCATTCTCATCCTCTGATGCAGATGGTTCAAATAACATAGTTATATGCTAACATTTTCTGTTAATTTTCTGTGAAAGTTGGAGCAGCAAGGGCAGCACTTTCCAGTGATAAATTCAAAATTCATTCTCAAATCAATTTGCTAATTTTATTTAAATCATCCCTTGGTTACAGGTTGGTCTGTCTGAATTTCTCAAATTTTGTGAAATGGAAATTCCTCTAACTTTTCATCTCTTTCCCTAAGAATAGAGTATCGGAATCACCTCAATAATAGGATCTTGAATTTTCGGATCTAAAATCCATGTTCTTTTGAGCTCTAACTTCGCTCACATGTCAGGATTGAAGTTTATTTGTGCTCTTCCAAAGATTGTTAACTTTGCTGCTGGTGATGAGGAGAACAATCCCATTTTATATCCAAATATAGTGATGTCTGGATGTGTTACGCATTACTCTTTCAGCTGAAATGTGGTAAATGTCAGGGATGTGATGTAGATGTGCCGTTTTGGAGATTATAATATTTTAATTTTTGGGAGTACTTAAAAAAGATTTTCGAAAAATCTCAAAGCTCAAATTTATTTTGAAGCCTCTCCTACACATCTAATATTAAAACCAGAAGTTTCTTTCTGAATGCAGTTTATCCCTTAAGATTTTTAAATGATATGTACTTTTTATTTATATTATTGAGTAGTTCTTGTGTTATTAAAATAATAGGAGGAAAATTTTTGTGTGCTGTGCATCTCAACTAGTTCTTCTTCTCCTCAAATAATCTATTTAAAGATTTACATTTTAAAATTTATCGTGGACATTCAAACCCCTGGATGTTCCCTGTACATACAACCAACTTGATTCTGGTTGTACAAGGACTCAAGTTTTATTGAGTATAGAAAAGCACATGTCTCGATATTTTTATTTGGCATAAATCCTCAGAGGTAGTAAATAATTTTTGGTTTAAGTTTATCACAGATAATACCATGAGTATGATAATTCCCCTTTGTGTGAGATGGGGAGTGGATTTATCTGAGAATTTGTAAGGCACAAGTGGTATTTAATAGGACTATTCCCTGAACATTATGTCCAACAGAGATCCAAGATGCACAAAATACTGAAAATAACAATGTTATTTTAAAATCAAAGAGGTAATGTTATAGGATATACACAGTTTATTGAATATAATCATAGCGATTGATTTTACCGCTTCCTAAAGTAGGTATAATAATAATAATAATAATAATAATAATAATAATAATAATAATAATAATAATAATAATAAATGATGATGTATACGTAAGCTTCCGCGGCTCGAATCCATGAATTCTCGGCTATCCGGGAGACGTTCGTTGGCTGGGGTGCACCGTTTCGCCGGACATGTCGCAGGCTTCCTCAGGGCAGATTTAAACTATCCTGCCTGGGCTCTCGGGAGGGGCAGGTGCGCTGTGATTGGCGGAGAGGTCTCCCTGATTGGCCGGCGGTCTGGGCCAACCTGGACCTTGCGCCTGACGTCCCCGTGGTCGGACGGTGTTGAACAGTCCCCTGCCGGTCCCGAATAGATGGAGCGAGGGATTTCCAGGCGTGGTTAAGAGCGAGGCCTGCGTCCGCGTTGATGTTTTGCGGACGTCTGTGTATTTCTAATGCCTCTTTTATGCGTCTCAGCCAGTATCGGTTTTCCTTGTGCAGGAGCCGAGTCTTCTCGAAGTCAATGGCATGTTCCGTAACTTCCAAGTGGTGCGCAATAGCAGAACGGTTGGTGTTGTTCTTGTTGTAGTGGGCGATGTGTTCTTTGAGTCGCTCGGACATAGAACGCCCGGTCTCGCCAATATATGTCCTGCCGCAGCTGCAGGGAACTTCATAAACTCCTGCTGACTGGAGAGGAGGTAACGCATCTTTCATGCGTACCAAGGCGTTGTGCAGCTTGTCGGGCGCCGTGAACACCGTACGGATGTTGTTCTTCCGTAGTAATTTACCCACACGATCGGTGACACATCGGACGTAGGGAATCACGGCTAATCTGGAGCGGGTCCTCTCTTCTAACTCCGAAGAATCGTGACGGTCTTCGGCGTTGCCGCGGTCTTCGGCGCCACCGCGCCCGTCGGTACGATTGCGACCTCCGGGGTGGCCCGTAACGCTGGCAAGCACTCGTTTGATCGCCGTTTGGGAATAGAAGTTGGCCCTGAAAGTGTGTTCGAGCTTCTGAAGTTCTGCGGGAAGAGAGTGCTCGTCACACACCTTCACAGCTCTTGTGGCCAGTGTCTTCAGTACACCTAGTTTTATTGAAGGATGGTGGTGTGAATCCGCGTGTAGGTATCGGTCAGTGTGCGTCGGTTTTCGGGTAGACCGCGTGCCCCAAGGTGCCATCTTCGCGTTTGCTAGCCAGGACATCTAAGAACGGCAGACAGTTGTTTATTTCAGTCTCCATCGTGAATTGGATGCTCTGGTGGATACTGTTAAGGAACAGTAAGAACTCTTCTAATAATTTCGGTCCGTGTGGCCAGATAACAAAGGTGTCCATGTACCGCACCCAGAGAGACGGTTTGTGCAAGGCGTTCCGTAGAGCCTCTGATTCGAAAGCTTCCATGAAAGATTGGCAGCGATGGGAGACAGTGGCGAGCCCATAGCCGCGCCTTCCACTTGGGCGTAGTGCCGGTCCAGGTACTGAAAGAAGGTGGAATTTAGGCAGAATGCAGCCAGTTCAGCCCATTCTGTCGGCTGGCTACGATTCTGCAACTTCTAACGTTTAACTTCCACAGCTTCATGTACCGGAACTTTTGTAAAGAGCGAAGTCACGTCAAAGCAGACCAGCATATCACCTTCGTTCAGTCTTTGCTGCCGAATGATGTCAACGAAGTGCGTAGAGTTCCGCACGGCGTATTGCATACCTTCGGCGAGCGGCGCGAGATGGTCAGCGACAAGTCTCGCCAGGGCGTGGGTCGGCGAATTGATGGCACTGACGATGGGGCGTAGCGTCACGCCAAGCTTGCGTACCTTAGGTAGGCCGTAAAACCTTGGCGTCGACTAGTTGTTCCCACACAAGGCCAACTTCTTCGAAGCCTCTATGCAAAGCGAGTTGCGAATCCTCGCGGCGGTTTTGGTTCTTATCTTGTGTACCGGGTTGTGCTCCAGAAGCGAGTACGTGGAGTTATCGGAAAGAATGGCAGCCACCTTGTCGTGGTAATCCGCAGCTTTCATGACGACCGTAGCATTGCCTTTGTCCGCTGATACCATGACAAGGTCACGTCTGCTTCGAAGTGTCTGCAAGGCCAGTCGCTCCTCCTTGGCTAAGTTAGTGCGAGGAGCGCGAGCGTGTTTCACTATCCTGGCCGTGTTTTGTCGGATGTCCTCGGCTTGTTCTTCGGGTAATCCCACGAGCGCACTTTCTACCCCCGCCACGATGTCAGCGATGGGTATTTGCTTGGGGGCTGTCGCGAAGTTGAGCCCTTTGGCGAGTACAGCAACCGTTGCGTTGTCTAGTTCCTCTCCACTGAGGTTGACAACTGCTTTGGGCAGGGTGGCGGCGCGTTGTTTCGGATGCTGTTTTCTACCTAGTGTCAAACTTCCCAGATTGTCTTGTCTTTGTTTCTTCATTCTGCTGTGCGGCACGTTTCGAAGACACGAAGTCCAGGGTGATCCAGTCTTCGCATGAAAGTAAGAAGGTGAGACGTAGATGAAGTTGGTACAGAGTGAACTCCGTTTTCGCTAAGTCAGTCCTGGTTTGGTGAATTCGTTCATGTAGTAAAGCCGAACCAGCCCTGCGAGAGGCCGCCGCCGATCGAATGTGGTGCTTTAAGGAGACGAATTCAGGAAGCACGTCTTCATCCCTGCACCTCAGTAGGAAGGCCAGTTGGCAGAGAAGTCGTGCCCTTTTGTCTCGCAAATTAGTCTTAGTATCATGAAAAACATTCTCTCCGTAGAGATTAGTCAGATGTATACGTAAGCTTCCGCGGCTCGAATTCATGAATTCTCGGCTATCCGGGAGACGCCGCGTCGTAGGCTGGGGTGCCGACGTTTCGCCTGACATGTCGCAGGCTTCCTCAGGGCAGTGACACTGCGGCGCTACGCACCCGGTGATTTAAACTATCCTGCCTGGGCTCTCGGAAGGGGCAGGTGCCCCGAGAATTCGATGATGATGATGATGATAATGATAATATAAATAAAAATAATGATAATTTATTGTTCAAATTACTTGGGGTATTAGTTTCAAACGATGTCCATCAAGTCTTGGATTGAGGTAATTACATTTAATACTTACAATGAAATTAAGGTATAATTCATACAAATGAATTATTATTTGGACAAACAAATATTCAGTATTGTTATGTATACATGTTGATGTCAGAGTCAGTTGATGTTAGTCATGGCACAGTTGTACTTAAATTCTAGAATATCATAAATATTTATGAGATTGTATGTTAAAAGATAAAATTATTAACAATATTAATTTTATTTATGTTTGATTGTGCACAGTTCAAGTGTGTCTTACATAATACATGTCTCGAATTCTTTCTGTAATCACACTTACGACCTACTAAAATTTTCTTTATTATTTTTTATTTTCAAACGTAGCAATTCTTTAAAAGAAATATTGTCTCATTTTTTATTTTTCTTTGGATATTTTTTAAAAAGACATTTAATTTTACAATACAAGCAGTTTAATGCAGCATCCTCATTTTTTGAGGCCTTCATAAGAGACATGTTGGCTAAATGGAAAAAAAAAGAAAGAAAGAGAAAGAAAGGAAAAAAGAGAGAGAAAATAAAAGAAAAAAGGAAATAAAAGATAAATATATTTCAGTGTCTGTAAATAATCAAAATCAAAATCAAAATATAAAGAAGAAGGAAAAACACATTTTCCCCCTGACATTTCCAAGAAGTTTTTAGTGGACAAGTACCTTAACTGAAAACTTTTTATGTATCACAATTAACATACCTTTGCTTTTCTCAAAAGCACCATCAATTATGTGTCTATCATGCCTAAAAACAAACTCAAACATCATCATTCTGCCTATTGGTAGGTTTCCATTTCTTTGATTTCTCTTCAAACATGATGAAATACTGCCATGCTGCATTTGGAACCGTGGCATCATTCATATTCGAAAAACAGTCTTTTCAACTTATGATAGTTACAGTGACCATATACTGCACTATTGTAATCTTAAAATTCATCCGGAAAACTGTGATACCGTTAAATGTTATTGTGCAATAATTGAAAGAGTTGTGCCAAATACCTGGGGATGTATTTTCACTGCAACTTGAAGTCAGAACACCATATTTTTCAAATATCCTCTAAATTAAGGTCACTTGTTTACTTTTTTAAAATAAATTATCAACTACATTAAATAGCAAACAATTATACTTATGATTTATCATGCTTTCTTTTGGTCTTTGACTACATATGGGATTATTGCCTGGGGTGGTGCCCGTGAAAGAGTGATTAATCCCTTAATAACTGTCCAAAAATAAATTATTAGGAATATCTTCAGTAAAGACAAACAATACTACTGTGAGAACTTATTCAAGGAAAGTAATCTAATTTCCATTAAAAATTTTATTTATGAAAAATTGCTGCTATACATTATTCCTACCTGAATAATGTATATATGAATCTAGTCATGATAAAGTGTGTGCTTATTATCACTCCTAAAGTTGTGAAAAACATAGGCAGGAGAAGTTATTGTTGCCTATATGATCTTTTAATTGAATGAAGATCATAAAATGAAATCGTTCAGATATGAATAATTAGTCTCATAGAAATAATTTTTTATAAATTTTGTAATATTTGTATTTTAGTGTTTAAAATTTGATACTGTCATTATTGTTAAAATTAAAATCATGTTTATTCATGTCTCACCCACTAAAGATATGCATTTAAAAAGTATTAGCATAATTATATTATCATATATTATTATAAACAATAATAATATTACTATTGTTTTTGTTTGTGGTACTACATTAAACAAATTTTTTATTTTGCAGGATGATGTGGGCTGCAGGTGTGTTAGCATCTGTTTCCAGTATCACTTATCCGGCCATCAGTGCCTTTGTGTCCATGCATTCAGATGCTGATAAACAAGGTATTTGTTTTGAACTATTTAAATTCAACTTCAATAATTTTTTTGGTCCTTGTCTTACTTTCATTCTTGGATTGACTTGTTTCCTTTCCTTTTTCTTTTCTTTTTCCAATGACCCAAATTGTTGCAGTTGTTAAAACCAATAGTTCTGAAGTGAACTCAGAATGTTGTAGGCTCAAGTCTAGCCTAGGATTAGGCATTTTCACCTTTGTCTTGTGCAACCTTCTCCATCACTTTCCTATAATGTCCTGCCATTTCTGGTCAATGTAGGTGGTGGAGGAACTTGTGTGACCTACCCATTGTGTCAGTCAGCCAGCATCCTTGATCCCTCAGTTGTGTGGCATAGGACACCTAGTACTTCATGTACCACCTATTGAAACCCTAATCCTTCCCTAACCCCTTGCACTGACCAAACTGTGTGTAAGATCCAGAGGTGTAGCTAGGTTTCTAAATATATGTAGAGAGAGATATGACAATACATTTACTTACATACCTACACTGACACACATTTAATCATTCAAATTCTTTTATAATGGTGCATTGTGTCCTCCGGGATTCAATCTTAGGGCCTATCCTTAGTTTCAGTGTAGTTTTGTATTTCAAACAGGCATTCGCATGAATCATTTAATAAATGAGGAAGTGTCACCACACATCATATTAATGAAACGATTACTGAGTTGAGCCCATTGGCCACCCCAGGCATAATCGTAATGGTACAGAACTGAGATTACCCTAAGGGCTACCTCGGCATGATGTTTTGGGACTTCACAACTGGGAAGAGTTTCCATGGGAACTGTAATGACTGCAGGAGACCCTAATGGGTCCCTTAGTCACCCAAAAATGGCTGGCAGGAAGGGGTTAGGCAAATTTGAAAAGTAGCTCTGACCGAAAAGCAAAGGGTTTTATTATATTTTCTATTCTTCTTTTCTTGATTTTTTTTTTTATTATTATTATTTTTTCTTTTTTTTTTTTTTTTATTTTCTTCTTGTTCTTTGGGAGGAAACGTAATAGCTCTTCATGTGTTTCATCACCTTTCCTTCCTCCATCAATATTCCTCTTTTTCTTTGTTCATTTGATTGGAAATTGTATGTTAAGCTGTTGTTGAATTTTATACATTGGGAACTGTGAACATTGTGATTTTCGAATGCTGTCATCTTGTTCCTAATATTATTAATATTTTTTGTTTTCAGGGTTGGTGCAGGGGATGGTTACAGGTATGCGTGGACTCTGTAATGGATTGGGCCCTGCCATGTTTGGCGTTATATTCTACTTGTTCCATGTAGATCTCAATGAAGACGCAAGAGAAGTTAAAGATGCAGAAAGAAACACAATACAAGGAGATAATGGAACAACAGGGCAGATGGTTGACCCCATGCAACCAGTAAGTTTTTGCTCTATTCTTTCCTTTCATTTTTGTGTATACATTGTTCTCAATATGGATTATTTGATACCTTTCAGGTATTCAGGTATTGAATAAGATATTTTGTTTAATTAAGTTCAAATACTTTATGCCATTACTTCGAAAAAATATTTAAAACCACTGTCAGAATAGTAGACATTTTAAAGGTATTTGGTTGTATTTTATTTTGAAGTTTTTACTTAAAATTTGGTATCTATTATGTTTATACAAAACTGAGTATCATGATTTAAGTATTTATTCCTCAACATTGGTGAAAAAATTTCAACCAATATTTTAAGTGAAGTAATTTGATTGTAGTCTGTTTGTTGATCTGTATTGTTCTACTCATTATTTAGATTGAGAAAAAGAGTTGGAATGTATGAATCTGTTCTCTTATAATTAATGGTGCATTTATTTCAAAATTTTGTTTTGTGTGTGTGTGTGTAATTGTTGGGTTCTTCTCTTCTTGACCCAGAGATTGTGTGAATGTGTACTTTAATTGTAAATTCATGGTCTTTTGTTGGTGCAAAGTGTTTGCTGCTAAAACAGTCCATAATTGTTAGTTATGGGTTGTTGCATATTAAAATAGAAATGCAAATTGTTTATGGTGGTACAGCATGTTGATTACCTCCATCCTAGATCTCATAATTGGTGATGCCTTCCTGTTGAAACATCCTTCAGGCAGGAAGTTCATAATCTGTTAAAATCCTTTCATGTCTTGTTTTGTCATCACTTGCTTTCTAGATCTTTAAAACATGATCTAACTCTGAGATGAAATTTAGATGAAGAATGAAAAGACAAAGCATTGAGAACCCCAAAATTTTGTTAATTGCATTCGGCTTAATATCAATCTTCAAGTTAAATTCAGTCATCTTTTCATTTCTTTTTACCTTCGTCCAATAATTCAGTGTTTTTCATTGTTTCTGGCTGACCAGGAACCTTTGTGGTCTGTCATCAGACAGGTATGTTTAAAAATCTTAAAGGGAGTAGTCACGTTAGGATGTCTTATTTATTTTTTCCATATAAGATGTATGTATAAAAAACAGTATTTTGACCAAGCAGATAACAGAATTTTCACTCTTGTGTTTCCGTATTATTTGCCATTTGCAAATGGTTCAGTTGAACTATTACATCTTAAGTTTTCAATGACCACCACATCACTAAATAACAGATCGTTCATGACCGATATCAGAATAATCATTTTTGATAAACAGGTGTTTTTTCTACATCATCGAAAATTAGCAATTCTTTTTTCTGTAGTTGGCCTTAGAGTAAAATCCTTCACCTTTTAATAATTGAGTACTTTTTTTTTTTTCCAGTTATCATTGTTGTAATAATGAGTAATTTTGAAAATTCACAAAACTAATACCCTGGTACATCAAAAATGCTGCTGAATAAAAACACAAAATAGTTTTCCAAAATAAGTACACATACTGGTCAAGAACTACAAATAAAATATTCTTGTATATCACTGCAGTGACATAAGATAGTATGTGTGGATACACACTTCAACAGTTCTTTACATAACAAGGATATTGAAAAACCTGCTGTACCATAATGCAATATGTGAATGGCGAGTACCCCTTCCTTCAAGCCTTGTTGTCACTTGGCATCAGCTGCCATAAGCTATGACAGCAGTTGAGAATTCAATCCATACTTGTATGAGAATAGGCACACAATCAAATGTTTGCATTTTCAGTCAAAATCATAACTTTTCAATTTGTTTTGGATTTTCCCGAGTTCCTGGATATCTAATGAAACCATAGACACTGCTCACATGGCAGAAGACTGCATGATTTTCTTTAAATTTCTACGTGCATTGGAAATTGGTAATATAAATTGTACTAGAAGCATACTCTAAAAATTGTACATACTGTACAAATTGGACCAGATTTTTCTTTACTACTCTTTTGTTCTAATACTTTCAAAATTAATTATATGAAATAATTTTACTGTGGATTCTCATTTGGGATTATTCTAAATTGACCACAAATAGTAAATATTTTATGGTAATTTCTTAAACACTTTTCACCAATATTTGTTGTGTAATAATTATTTATGAATGAACATTAACCTAGAAATTGTTCAATACCATTTACGTCTATTTTTTAAAATTATGATCCCATTTAGAAGTACTGTTTTGATTGTTAGAATTAATTAAAAATAAGTGAATTTGACGTCTGGGTAGATCGCGATTCTGGTTAATAGCGGTGTATTTTTCTTCAATGGGAGAGAAAAGCCTCACTATGAAAGTATGAACACTTTTTTTCGTGAAAAATATTTGTTTTCCCTTAATTTTTTCAAGTAATTGGCACTAAAATATATTTTGGATTATACAAATGCAAATAAGAAGTAGGAATCTGATTAATATTAATCACTAAGAAAATTGTATTTATATTAGTTGAAAATCCAAATAAGTATTCATGTAGAGTGATTTATAATAATGCTGCCAAAAATGAGGATTTTAAACAGAAAAACTCCGAGAAACAACAGAAAAACGCGGCTCTGACCACCAAAAAATTTATAGATCTTGTTCGTATGTGTAAGAAAGTACATCCTCTAACGTGTTGCGGTGTGTTTTTTGATTCTTGATACTGAAAAATTGGCTGATGGCATGTCTGTCCGTCTGTTCTGTGAAATGCTAGAGCCTTAATTGTTCAGATGTTTTTCTTCAAAATTGATATTCCCCAACGATATGCACACACTCGAGACCCTGCGGATTTGAAACAAATGTTTTTTTTATTTTTTGGGGGATTTTACATGAAGCTTTGACATTATCCAAATATTTCCAAAAATGACTCCAAATTCTTTTATTATTTTCTCTTTTTTTTTATAGAGCAAAGATCATTTAAAAAAAATGCTGCAGTTGTCATTTTCGTTGAAGTCTCTGTTGTTGTTTTTTGTTTTTTTTTCAGTAATGAAATCTGTTTGAAGACACCGTCAAATAAGATCATGTACAAGTTTTTGAAAATCTTCGTAGTTCTCATGTAATTTTGCGTGAAATGCAAGCAATTTTTAAACGCGCTGGTAGATGACGTTCACCGGGCATTCGCCATATCCTCATCCTGCCATCGGATCGCCACATTGTGTACCGTGATACGTCACTCCACACGACGCTTTTCCACCGTTCAATCGTCCAATGTTTCCGCTCTTTGCACCAAGCGGGACGTAGTCAGACATTTACCTGCTTGGTGTGTGGCTTATGAGCAGCCGCTAGACCATGAAATTCAAGTTTTCCCAACTTCTGCCTAACTAGTATAGTACTTGGAGTGGATCCTGATGCAGTTGAGAATTCATGTCTGATGGTCTGGGTAGATGTCTGCCTATTACACTTTATGACCCTCTTCAACTGTCGGCGGTCTCTGTCAGTGAAAACGCAAGTTTTCCTCATTGCCAAATGTCAATTTATCAGAGATCGCTAAAACATTGTACGCCCCTAGTCATGGAGAATCTATGACTTGCTTCGGTTCGAATCTTCATCTAAACCCGTGCCTAGCTGCCATATGTCTGAGGTTAAGACAGCGAGTGAGACCGGTGTAAAAGGTGGTTGGTCTACACCAAAGTTTCTTAACGACCAGTCTCCATACTTGGCCAGCCGAAGCAAACAGCCAAGAACACAAAAGTGCTAAAGCCGCCCAGGAAACATCATTTAGCTCGAGCCGAAATCAAAATCAAAGAGGAGCCCAATAACAAGAGCCATCACCAAAAAACAAAAGTCTGAAAAAGGTGGCTCTCGATGTTCTTGTGTTCTGCTTATTTAAGGGCTCGCGGTTTGTCCCCACCTAAGCACACACGCGGCCTCCCCGGCGTTCAAACTCTGCCGCCTTCCTCGGAACGCCCGCCAGGCGCGTGATGCCATCTGGTCGTGACCCACCCACGCCGAAAGGATCTGGAGGAAGAAAAGATCGTCCCTCCGCTTTTCTGAGAAAGTCAACAGCCACCCCTTTTGCGCTCACGTATAGAAGTCAAGGGCTTGGCCTTTGTATAAAAAAACATTGTCGCCCCTCAAAGATTCTCTCCCGATGTTAGCAATGGACATAGCTATGCTAATGTGTTTCCGGTTGGATCGCGAGTGTCATTGAAAAGATGAGAGCTATTGTCGCGTTCCAGCCCCTCGGCAGTACACCCTCGCTTAAGACTTTTCTCATAGGGACAGTTGCAGTTCTATTACAGGCCACTCGCACCGTGTTGTTACAATAACAATGTTGAGCCTAAATGTTGCTAACAGTTTCTGCGCACACAGACGCGACGACAATGACCGAGCGCTGTGCGCACAAACTTGTTGGGAGTAAATGGAATAATTACATTGAGTTTAATAATGTCATTGTAATGTTATGTATGTTCACCTCCCGCGTTTGGCATTGATTTCCAGTGGCACCCGAGTTTTTGTGTTTGTTCTGCATTAAGACAATTGTCGGTAATAGAATTCATACAAAAAACGAACTAGCTTCCGAAAATACGGAGATCCATTCCAGCACTTCGCAGAAAGCGAAGCTTTCTCCGCCTTGTACACGTAGGCTTCCGAATATAACACCGGAGGCGGAGCTTTACTATGTCAGTACCCTGAAGAAGCCTGCGACATGACAGGCGAAACGTCGGCCTATCTGCCAACGACGCGGCGTCACCCAGACAGCCTAGAAGGAACTTTCTCCGCCTTGGCCAATCGCCCGGGCAAGATTGTGGAGGGAACCTCGCTCTATGTAAACTCGTGCGTAATCCATTTCCGCGCATTTCGCCCTGAGGAAGGTCACCGAATAGTGACCGAAACGTTAGCACCTTTGCCTAAGATGCGGCGTATGAGGTGTAGCCAAGTAGATATTAACAAGTAATATTGTTTGGAGACCTTTTACATTAGTTCATTTCATGATCTTCATTGTTATTGCTGTTACTAGTGGTGGTGATAAAAAAAATCGAAAATTGCACTACCTTGGTATATGTTGCAATAATGAAAGATATGGTTTTTTCAAGGGGTATATTTAGGCCCGCGCGTCTGACGAGGGACGTTCCTGACCACGAGCTAGAGCGCGCGGCCAGGACCGTGGTGCGCAGGTGTGTGTTCTTATTTCTGCCACGCTTCTGCGCGCCATTCAAGAACTATTAGAGTAAAATCGTCCAAGTAAAGATCTCAGCAGCGTTGTAGGGCGCGCTGAATTTCCGAGATCCGACGGTCCTCACGTGCGTTCACACGCTCCTCGCTGCTGCTCCTACTGCGTGATGGTGCAGTTATATATGTTCTGATCGTGTTGTGTGTTATCCTGTAGTGTTCATATAGTGTATAGTGAATCAGATTACTATTTTTCGATAAGCTTATTAAGAAATGTCCGTTCACGATTATCGTAAAAGGAAAATTATAGCAGGGCTTGGCATAATGTTGTGGCACTAATTCCAAGAGGAAATGGCGAAGAAAAAACGCACGGTTGTGGGAAAATGTTTCAGACAAAAATGACCACATGCCGCTGTTGAAGGAATTAAAGAACTATCATGTAAACTTCCCGTACCCCTCTTTTTTTTAAAAAAATTATTAGTATACACAGAACATTAAAGCTTCCATAGACTAGGGCACTCCCTATATATGGAAAGAAACTCCCTCACCATATCCCGGCACCAGCAGCGATTATCCGCAATTTCAAAATACCTCCCGGCTGGTCACTGTCCACTTAGAACAAAACCACGTGTAAATGCGAGCTACGCTTTTGCTGGCAGCGTTCCGGAGCGCGCTCTTGCGCGGAAGCCGGAACTTCTCTTTAGACGTTCGTTCTGAAACGTGTACGTATTCTCTTAAATCAGTAGAAATTCTTACTTCCTTGGACATGATCTGCAGCAACAAGAACAACATTTATACAATAACTAACTTTCGAGATACACACATTCACAACGGGGCTTGCAAATTGCACGCATCGTGTGCACTAGAGGGACTTCTTCCAGAACGGCCAACCGTGCACGAAAGACTCATCAAATGTACTTCTTGAATCGACAAACCTAATATGAAATTAAAATAAATTATATACCTTGAACATCATAAATGATGTATTTAAAACCGTCAAGAATTGCCTGACCTTGTGCATTTTCAATAACAATGGAAATTCATAAAATTAAGTTGCAGCTAGTTTGAGACGATTAAAGGAAAAGATTCCCCTTGGACGCCGTGCCGCGCTCTGCCCTACCTTCGTTTGCTCTGCGGGGCCACAGCCTTATGGTGTAAGCCAAGTGGCCATCATTGATTGAAGTTAGTTTCTTAAATTCTGTATTCATCACTCATTTTGCAATAAATATTTATCTTTTTAAGTTATTATAAAGACTAAGACATGTTCCCATAAGAGTTTCTAACAAAGTACGCTAGGGTAGTAACTTGTTCCAAATACTTTGTCAAACTCTGATCCAACATCATATTACAATAGACAATATGTACACTATATTACTGGAAGATATCTACAAGAAGTGTGGTGTGCCCTATATATATGCAGTCCATTCTTTCTGCCATTTTCAAAAGTTTGGGTTTATGTAATAATGTTGCTAGTTACGATGGTAAAGTGACAATTTTTTGTTTGTTTCATGTGTAATTGTCGAGAAAAACTAACTTATTTTTATGTTTAATTTTGATTTTTGTCGATTACAGCACCATCATATCACCAAACGGGAAAAAACGTTAAATACAGATTTTTTTTTCGGAGAATCCGAATTTGCAATAAAAACGGAGGTTACCCTTTAACTTCGATATTTTCCCCATCCCCTGGAGTTAGAGGTAGGGATTGATTTTGATATCATTGGTCCTTCGATACAAACAACTCTCATTACCCACATTTCTTGATCCAATGCGAGTTTTTTTAGGTATTTCCAAAACTAGTTTTAAATGGAATACTCTGTATATATGACAGTAAAAGCTTTCTAAACTGGAGCCTGTACAAGCTGGAAACCTACCTTAAGGTGGTTAGAGCGAGATATGTGTTATGTTTAACATGCCTTTTTTATTGTATTAATCGAAAGATGAGAGGTTCTTCTATGTTCTGATAGAGTTTGAATCGATTTCACCGTCCAGTTTTTGCGCAACGGGACCGTAAAGTTTGCTGTTTTAACATGGGCTCTTATGGTGACCTGAGAGATCTGACCTGAAATTTTAAAATTGTGAGAAAATTAGCTGTTGAACATGTTTTTAAAAACTTTTCTTTTGGTACCTAGCATCTCGAAGAATCAACATGCGCAATTTGAAGGAAGTCTACCGTTTCAAATGCGAGAATTGTGCAAAATTATAACCCTAAATCAGTCCAAAACCTAAACGTGCGCAGATCTTCTCCCTCATACGTCACATACAGTTTTTGTTTTTTAACTAAATAAATCTAAACATCTGTTGGGAATAGCGCAGTACCATCTGGAGGGATGGTAGAAAGTCACCTAAAGAAAGTTTTGAAACGTTTTACGAATTAACGCCTTAATTCGAGTTACACCCTTCTTCCACCCAACCCCTCAATTTTGAATTGACGATTTTGTGATATATTAGCTTTCAAAGAATGTTTTCGAATCTCATGCGCTACGATTGGCAATGAGTTTTACAAGCGATGGCTAATACGTGCCTATGTGAACAGATTTTCTATTATAACATACATAACTTTACTAATGCAAGAATGTATGCTATAGAAGCAACACTAGTTAATGCTGAGTAGCATTGGAATAAAAATAGGGCAGCTCTTTGATTGTAACAGAACATCTGATATACAGCAGGATTTCAAATTTATGATTTTCTTTGTTGTTTTCTTTTTACATTTTATGTTTTACTTAAATTACACGCACATTTGGAGATGTGTCCCAAAAGATTTAAGGGGAAGTAAAGGTGTGTAGTGTAAAGGTGTGTAAAAATGTAAGGGGATCGATGAAGCAAACAATTATTTTAAAGGAGAACTATGCAAGAAAAATATTGGAAATCCCTGCTGTATCCGGAAAATATTGGCAGTTGAAGGTCATCGGTTGGGGGCAGATTTTAATGGAATGTCATTTTTTCCTTTTTCACTTTAGAACAATGCTGTTTAGTACAAAATTAATTTTGGTATGACTAAAGAAAATTACCCAATTTTATACGTCACTTTTTGCATTTTTCGTCGAGTCAGAGTTCTGCGCGAAGTTATCACGTAAGGGAGTTCGGCCTTTAGGGGAGCGAATGCTCCTGAAAGCGGGCGGACTTTAACGAAACTCAAGTGGCAGCGGAAAAGCGCATCAGACTGCGTTACAAAATCCGCCGCGGATTAAACGCTGCCCATCCGCCGCGACGCTCGCTACCGCGCAGCTCTGAACGTGTTCATAACGAAACACGTGACGCCAACTTCCGCGTAGGCTGCGGATCTTCCGCGCCGGTCTTTGGGAGCCTTTATACTGTTACGTAGTCAGAATTTTAATTTAAAATGGCCCCCAAAACTGACTTCACATGTTAGGCGGTATTTGCGATATCTCTCTGCCAAATGATTTGGGAGAATTGTACTACAGATTATAGTATAGAATTCTCACAAATGTGTGAAATTTTTATTTTTTCTGGCAGGCAAGAATAGTATATTATCATTCATTATGAATTTTATCATATTTATTGTGAAAAAAAATGTTTTTGTCATTTCAATTAGTATATCTTCTAAAATGTTTCTGTAATTTAGTTTGGGTTGTCAACAAAATAAAATAAAATAAAAATACGCAACTTAATGCAAAAGAACTGTGATTACTAATAACTTCAACATTTCAGAGAGACCCGTCTCAAAATAATTCTGTATTTATGTGACCGCGAAATTATGAGATGACGTACGAGTAAAACATGAAACTGTTTTAAGATTTATAATGTTTGCACTTGTGAAACTTTGTGCAACTTGTGTGTTACGAAATACGTCTGCTGTCTTGCACCTCTTGTATGAAGAAATTCTGTATTTGTTGGTGTCAGTTCTACAAGCCGCAGTACCTCTGCGACCTAACACCTTTACAAAGTCATTTTCTTTAAACCATCTTAAAAAAAGTTCCAATTCGAAGCTTTTCTCTCTCTCTCTTTTTCTCCCTCTCTCTTTTTCTCCCTCTCTCTTTTTCTCCCTCTCTCTTTTTCTCCCTTTCTCTTTTTCTCCCTCTCTCTTTTTTCTCCCTCTCTCTTTTTTCTCCCTCTCTCTCTTTTTTCTCCCTCTCTCTCTTTTTTCTCCCTCTCTCTCTTTTTCTCCCTCTCTCTCTTTTTCTCTCTCTCTCTCTCTCTCTCTCTCTCTCTCTCTCTCTCTCTCTCCAGGTGTTACTGATTGTTTCATGATATGAATAATAATGAGTTAAAATGGGAAAAAGTGTTCTGATGTAAACACTCCTTTTTTAATTAGCAATTGTTTTCAGTTTGTATGTACGGTATGATGCTAGGTGTTAAAATTTTGTTTTGTATTATAGCTTGTTCCAGGACCGCCATTTGTGTTTGGGTCTTTCCTGGTAATATGTGCTTTGCTGGTAGCAGTTTTCATTCCTGATGGTACACCAGTGGGGTCAAACCTTCGTACCAGTTCACGCCGTCAGTCAGGTATCTTTATTTTCCTAATTATAATTCTATGTTAATTTCTCATGTCTCTCTTGGTAATACTGGAATGCAGAACAGAATTTATGGATTTGTTTGCACATATTGGAAGATGGAAATTAAAGATCAGTGTTTTCCAAAAAATTCAAAAGTAAAGTGAATGATTATGTTGACTTGAATTTAACATTTTTGGTAGTATTTTGAAAATTGCTAGGGATAATTCAATGGTTGAGAGTAAGAAAATGGACTCATAGTGATTATTCCTTTTCTTTTGAAAACCTAAAATTCTTCCATGTACTTACTTGATACATTTTCTTGCTAATATGGTCTTTATATGTAGATATCACTTTAGGGTAGAATTATGTTGAGAGGCTTATGTCATTTGTCATTCACCGCCAACTGGTTCCCCTTTACCAACAGTTCATCATCTTTGCAGCTGCCAAGCAGATTCCAGGGGTCTCTACTAGTTTCTGCAATCATTGAAAGATACCCAATCAATGGGACATAAATTGTATTTACATGCTGACTGTATGAGATTTAAAATATCCTTCATTTCACATTTCCGAGTGTGCTGAATTCAGAATTTGGGGGGGAGTACGACAACTGAACAATTGGCATAGAAGAATTTTATAATCCTATATCTGTCTGTATAGAGATTAATAAAAAAGTTAAGACGGTAGATTGCCAAAATTGAAATCTTACTTTTCCAATCTTACAAATCTAGAAATTTTACTTTCACTCTGCTCAGAACAGTACCAGAAACTCAATGATGAAGCCTTTGAGAGGAATGTGAAATAGCTCAATCACGACATTTAGATCTTCTCTTGAGTGATTGAAGATGTCAAAACGTAGATAATTTTTGAATGTTATTCTCTCTCTGCCTTCAGCTGCACGATACTGAAGAAGGCTGCTATATGGTATGAAAGCTCTTTAATGATATCAATTATTAGACACCTTCAGTCTCTCACAAAGAAAAGTTTCAAATATTTAAATTTTGAATTTTCAAAAGTTTTAATAAAAATGGAACTTTTTCAGTTGTTTTGCCTATTTTAATTCATGAAAAAGTTTGAAGAATAAATTTGAAATGCAATAATTTTACAAGTATTCTTCAAAATCAAACTATGCCACTTCAAAATCAAACTATGCCACTGAAAGTAGCATGACTTCAGTTGAGACATATGTATGTTGTATATTGACGTTATATATGTTTTGAAAAAACTCCTGTGACAGTCAGCTAGTTTTCATAGATGAACGAACAAATAGACACAGTCATATTGCAAAAAGAAAACAGCAACAACACTTTTTGAGCATAGGAAGCTCCCTATATGTGTATTTCTCTCAAAATGTTGGGAAATTATTTTCACACAATTACAATTCTTTATCTGCACTATATAAACGAGAATTTTATAAGAGCATAAGTGGTTGAATTAATTTACAAAATAATGCAAATGTGGTATTCATACTAATGAAAGTAACAAAAAGACACACACAATTTTGATTGGCAGAAGTTTAACAGGTAACAAAATGGTAAGGGGTATCGTGTTAAGGGAGTACATACAGTTATCAAGTGGTAAATTTGGTGGTTCTTATAATTATTTTCATTGCTAAACTGTGCAAGCTTTTACCGTAAATTTTTCACAATGATTTAATAAACATTAAGGGAATAAGAAAAATATCTGTTTGATAAAAATTATGATTTAAACTATACTAATTAGCAATGTAAAATGCTCTCTACGATGATTCTTCTATCCACTGTTTCCCCTGTAACTCAAGTTGTAATCAACATTAAATTTAATTTTTATTTGGAAATGTAGATAAAAGACCAGGTTTCAACATTTACTACAATCATAAACCTAGTTCTTATGTAAACATTTTAAAAATATTATTCTTTTTGTATTTACTTTATTTACACTTTTTAAAATAATTAAAAAGTCTTAACTTCTACTATTTTCTTTGTAAAGATATCATTGTAGTAGATGTTGTTCATGTCCATATATAGAACGCTTGCTGAAAATTCGAAGATATAGACATTTTGAGAAAATCTGTGTTAAAGTTTGAAATTTATATTACAGTACATTACAATAAAGTATGTTGTTTAAAACTGGCCTGGAGGATAAGCCCTCCTTCCTTTTTCTATGCTGTAATATCCTATTTGAGCTTCTTGCCTCTTTTGTTTTCAATTTTTCTTTTTTCTCTTGCAAGTACTCTTTGGGCATCTTCATTCTTAAAGCATTTAATCATGTAATAATGTCCTCTTGGCGCTTCAGCCTTTTCTTCACTTTTTCTTCCACCCATACCATTGTTAAATGTAATAACACCATCTTTATCGAAATTTCTGAAATTCTTTTTTAAGAAAAAGACACACTTTCCAAATTTTGGAATGGAATTTGCATTTGAATGTACATTTTGTGTCATACCACCAATTTCTTTTTAAGAGTTTTTGGATCACTTAGAACTTGGAAAACTAGTTTTGTAGTTTCCATGACTGCCACTGGTGTGTTGTTTTTGTGTCTGTATACTGCTTTTTGATATGGGTACCAGGTATCTTGTTCTTTAGGGCAAAGATAATGCACTGGTGTCTCATCTCTCTGTTGTCTTCAACAGAGGAGCTGTTTGCTCTTATTGCATTTCCATGATAAAAGTGTCGTAATGACTATCAAAATAATAAGAAAAGAAATATAAAAGAATAACAAAGCAAAAGTAGAAGGTATGAAAAATTTCTAGTTTAAATATACAACACACTAGTAATACAAGTAAATTATGACTCACAAAAAGATTACAAGATTTAAAGAAGAAAAGAACAACAGGACAACATGGAGGGAGTAGGGGCCTGTCTTACTAAAGGTGGATGACGCCCACACAATGTTGGATACTTTCCTTCATAACTCCATAACCAATCAACGTATCGTTATGAAACCAACATGAACATAAAGATAATGATACACAGATTTTATTGGTATTGCTTTTTAAAAAATAATTTTGTTGACCCCGATACCTGTATATATCCCCTTAAACCCTCACATGAATCATTTTATCATTGGAAGTGCATGTAAAAGTAGTATATACAATAATGCACAAAAGTATTATACATAGAGGTATTGGAGATACAATTTGCATGAATATAATTTTATTTAATGACTCATTACTGTTATAAAATAACTCATCAAAGTGTTGATAATGCAAGTCTAAATAACAGATTGGCTGAGCGCCTTAAAAATCGTCATCCTGAATGCAACCCGCTTGACATTAAGACGTCACACTCACCACGTTGCAGTGCCTCATGCAATCCTGATCTTTAATCGGCTGGGGCTCCGGGAGGAGAAAAAGGATTATGGTAACGATGGTGGTGGTGGTGGTGGTGGTGGTGGTGATGATGATATAGGTGAAGAAGAGGAGGAAGATGAAAATAAACAGATGGGGGAAGTAAGATAAATGAGAAAACAAAGAAGAAAGAGGACGAGAAAGGAAAAAAAGATAGAACTGTTGACTGGGCCCAATTCTGAATTCACTACACAAGCAAAATCTGTTAATTTCTGTTTCTTGCTTAAGAAGCCCTTGTACAGCGGGACCCTGACGGCTAGGGAAATCCAATAAAATAAATAATAGAACATGGAAATATACATGCAAAAGACTCGGACTGCTGAGTAAGATGAGATTTGTTAATATATTGACTGCTGTGTTCCCAGTGATAATTTTGTTAAGAAATAGCATGGAGTCTTGAATGGGAAAGTAGAGTGAAGAGACCAGTATTGAAGAAAGAAGACCATTTCTCGGTGTTATGGACAAAGGATACCTTATTCAGAGATTGGTTGGAGTATGGAAAGTGAAAGTGAAAAACATTATGTACCGATAGATGTCAATACTAAATTGGCCACTCAAAAAGAGTTTCTGAAAGAAGAAAGCATTGTAAGGCAGAAGAAAATATTGTAAAACTGATTAAAAAGTCTAAAATAATTTCTTGAAAAAAATAACTGCTCAACTGGGAAAAAATGTCACTGTTTAGTCTCTTCAAAGACAATGATAAAAATTTTGAATTGTCCAGGTTACCAAATACACCACAAATGTAATGTGAATTTAGTGATGTTTGGCCCTCAAAAAATTGTTTTAAATTTCAAATCAAAACCTTTTCTGTAATACCAAGGTTCTATAAGTTGTAAATTTACCTCCTTGTAGCGATCTATTTAAACAGTTATATTATTGAGAAACGTATCAAGATTTAATCGAACCATACATTACCTCCAAGTTTCTGTGTATCAGCTCGATTATCAAACAGTACTACAATAATTGGGAATGAATTCTTTAAACAAAATGCACTTCAATGTCAGCTAAAAGCCAAACATAGTGCAGTCTGTTTTGTTTTAACCTCCTTTATTACTGATTTCTTTACAAAAACTTTGTTAATTGTGTTTGGCAGAGGAGTTTTTTCATGCAAATTTTTTAATAAATTCCATTCTTATTCAAATAGTAAGTCAATTTTCTTGCTGGGGAATTTTTGTGCTTGTGGTTGTTGTTGGGTTTTTTTTACCAGGCTGTATATTTAATTACCAATTTTTTTATTATGTACTAGCTCTATCTGACAGTTTTGTTGTGATTAGGAAATCAAATGAAAATGTACCTTACAATTCAAAAGTGATGGGTGTTAGATCCAGACTTTCCTGAGTAAAAAATGTTTATAATTATTTTGTTTCTTGTGATCAGTATTTCTACATGATCAAGTTTAACCCCTTTATTTATTACAATATTAACATTTGATCGTTTGGTGGTAGCCTGAAAATACTTAAAACTGGAGTACTCTCTCTTCTGATTTGACTATTCATAAAATATACTTTCTTGAGTTCCATGTTGGAAGTGTACCACAATTTACAGGTATTTTTTCCTTAATTAAGTCCAAACCTGAGCACCATTTAGAGAAGATAAAGCCCAAAAACGATTAGTCCTAAGAATCACCCCTTGTCAATGGTTGATCATGAGAGAAACATTATCCACCCATGTCTCATGTCTCGTCGTCCCATGTCTCGTTGAAATCACTGTAGTCTTAAGCTTTAAGAGGAGTTAAGTCCAATTTCATTCCGTTTCATTTTTATTTCTGTAGATTTGTAGATGTCAGATAATATGCTATCAAAGAATGATGTTTATTTGGACAAAAAGGAATGTACTAATGTAAAGTATATAGAAACTTGAGTGCTGATACATTTGTCCATATCTGCTAGAAAAGCAGAGCTACTGCCATGAATACATGGAATTTCATTCATTCATTCATTTATTTATTCATTCAATAAATAGCGTGTAATAAAAGACCATCCAAAGAATTGCAAGTCAAAGCTCCAAGTAAAGCCAAAGATATTAACACTTTTTCCTAATATGAATGCTATAATAAGAAAAGTTTGTATGTTGATGGAATGGAATGGAATTGGGCTGCAAATTATCATAGCTTTCTATTGCACACTGCACTTGGTCTTCCCCCCTGTATCTCTAGAAGACAGAACTGAATTGCATTGTGCCACTAATGGCACGATCTCGTCAGCCAGGGCAGACGAATTATAGGGATGAATGTTCAACATTTTTGTAAAAGAAATCTGCGAGTTGTCCCACAAAGTAATACAATGTACTGATAAACAGTGGTTCCACAACTGACAGTTGCCAGATCCCATTAAAGCAATAATTTTAACAAAAACTACTTTGACCCAAACATAACTTGCTAACTCCATTTTTACTAGACTACTGGAGAACATGTGTATTATAAATGGTAGATTTTTTAGAACTACTGCTTATTCTTTTATTTCTCCCAATCCAGTAGTTTTGAAGAAATGCAGTAAATGTAAATCAACGACCACATAAATAAAGGCAATTTTGAAAATCAAAATTTTGCCTAAATGCACTGAATAACATGACATAGTTATTTTGATTGAACCTCTTAATTTTTCAAAAATGATGTAAATGTCTGTTGAAGTAAAAAATAATGTTAAAGTTACATTGTTAGAATGTACGTGCTGTTGTAGTGCCACTAGTTTCCTTATGAAATGAATGTGGAAAAAGAAAGTTCAACTGTAGTTTGATCTTCCATTTCCTTTTTGCCTACCAAATTTGCTTTCTATTAATATTTATTATAGCAATTTCAAAAAAATATGCCCAACACCAATTTTATCCTTCTATTCTTTATAATCCTAGATAGTTTCTTTTTCTCCTTTTCTGAGTACTAGTTTGTTTTTATTTTTTTCATGTTATTTTTGTTAATTTCTCCACAGCAACATTTATAAACTTTTTATTAATATCTCTTATTACTTGTTAATTGTAAATGACCCACATCTCTGCAGAATAACACCATTGGCATTTGACAAATCTCTCTCATATCAGAATGCTTTTCCCAGTGAGCAAAATTTATGATGTCTTGACATCTTGTGGCTATGAAATGATGGTGATGCAGGACTACCGGTGATGCCATTGGCATCTTATTTGGGATGACATGATCATGCTTATAGAGTATTAACTCATCACTACCAATGCTTAGTTGAAGTTTTTTATACGCTCTAAAGCTGTAGTAGCTTTCTTTTGTGGCACAAAGGTAATAGTTGATAATAACTGTGAATCATTGCAAAGGTTTCAAAATTTTCATTATGATTGAAAAAGTTTTTGGGTAAAATCTTGATGTGTGGTTTCTCTTATCTTCAAAATTGCAAGTATTGAAAATCTTCCTGTAAGTCTCAATAATGCTAACAATAATAATTTTGGGTACTTCATAGTTCCTTTTTTTTCTCTTATGTGTTTGCATATTTGTAGCAGTTCTTAAAACGACATTTGGGTTTTCCTTTTTGTTGTTGTTTCCACTTAAAAAGAAAGCTCTTCTAGTCTTGCCACATAAAAAAGGTTATTAAGAGTTGTCTGATTAGTTCCCTGCACCATCTAAAATGTGTGATTCATCCTGATGTTGCCAAAAAATGTCTGTGTTTCTTGTTCATGATCACCCATTTCTTGCTTTTGGAAAATATGATTATTCAAAATTGGAAGTTAAGTTTAAATAGAAGAACTTAAATAGTTGTGATTAAAAGTTTAAAATAGTGTATTTATTGAGTTTAATAAAAGGTGAACTTTTTTTTATGTTTACAGGTCTCTCCATGGAAGTACATTACGAAGTGGAACGTAGCAAGAAACATGATGGTATTAGCCCACTCTCACCACTCGTCGATAATTCAGCAATCTTATAGTGACGTGAGAATGTAGACACCAAAGAAACCATTCTGATTCACATTGTTTTGCATCAGGAAAAGCAGAACACTTGAAATATAGGCACTTACTGCAATGATCTGAATATCATTTGACAAATTGAAAGTTCAGTTCTAGAGTATCAGGGAAATTACAAATTACATAAATATTTATTTTTATTTATCTTGGCTTACAGATTAAAGAATAATGCATTCCTATCCTGGAATTAAAATTGTATATATTTTGAATTTGGTTTTGGCGTATCTGTTCAAAATACAACATCCTGAATACGTGCCCCGTGTCCAGGAAAATAATGTATAGTTGTAAATGAAAAAGAGTGTGTGCGTGTGTCTGTGGACATTTGTGATAACTGGTGTTGGTTGCAGCCATTGCCGGGTACTGTGAGTGTTTTTCCATTGTTGGAAAATATGGCAATTGCAAGACCACAATGCATTTCGAGAAGTATTATCAATTTTTGTGATGCTTTTGTTCAGGTGTTCATAAACTTATTTTTTTAATTCAGTGAACTGATCTTGCCTTTGGAAGAGCTTGGTTAACTGAATTTTAGTTACATTATCAGAAATATTTAATTACAATGTTATTAGCTGTACTTTATGGAGAGCTTGATGGGTGAATGATTGTGTTAAACAATTGCATTATTATTTTGTCTCAGACATTGACACAGATGACCAGAAAGCTTTGCTTTTGCTGAAATGGCACTTGAAATGGGCATTGTTTGTGAGAAGTGCTTCGAAAATAGCTATTATTGTTTAAAAAAGGAACTTACCTGTGTACGTGAAATTTTTATATGTTGTTAAGACTATGGATTTTAAGTTAGTACTTTGTTTTCGAATGTGGTGGTGCATTAGTTCCAACAAAATTTTATACATTTTATGGGAGGGGACAGTAGAGCATCTTTATTGTGAGATGTATATTGTAAGTACTATGTATTATAATGTGTGATGTGTTGAAGTGAAGAGAAAGGTGTAAATTATGAAAGGCTGTCAATAATTGTGAATGACAGCTGACAGTGCTATTTAAATATTTTTTTTCTTCCCCTTCTGTTTGTAAAAAATGAGTGTATGATTTTGTGTATTTAGCTCCTTGACAATTCAGCTGGCTTGTTTATATCACAGACATTCTTACAGTATTTATAATCACAGAGTCGAATGTGATGACAGTATCAGTGTAATTGATTGTTAGTTAATGTAAAATTGTAGTTTATCGTTTGGAGACTGAGAAACACTACTGATATGAATAAATTGCACAATGTGCTTGTTACCTAAGGAATGAGTTTGATTTAAAACAATATTGATGTACATTGCATATTGATGTACATTGCTTTACATTCAGTTATGACACTCAAGAAAAGGGGTGTCCAACTTGCAAGGCCTCAAGGGCCACAACTAAAATCTAATATGGTTGCAGGCCTTATTAATATTACTCAGGTGATCCACACCTGATTTTCTTTATACTGTTGATATCAGCAATTTGCTTTGAAGGTTTTAAATGTGTGGGGGGGGGGGGGGGGGGGGGATTGGGACCATGCATATCTGGCCATACCATGCATTAAGCAGTGAAATACATTGGGATGATTTTTGAATTTCTGCATTTACTAGAAAAATCTAAACTTCCTCTACGTTTTTTATTAAGAGGGTGTTGACCCCAAAAGACCTATGTGCTATGCGTGCTATGTTCTCACCCAATGTGGATGCAAGGGACTTTCACTTTTAACTATTAACCTTTCGAGGGCCACAAAATGGCATCGCAGCATGCAGCCCGTAGGCTGCCAGTTGGACAACCCTGCTCAAGAATATTAATTGCAAATGTTGCCATTTTTGTTTTTACAGTGAATTGTAAAAGATAGTATTTGGTTTAATAATTTACTGTCAGAGTACTGAAATTTTTATTGAGTATGAATTACATTTCATGATGGTACTTACTTCATAAGTTGACATGCACCAAAGATTTTTTTTTCTATTTTACATTATTAGTTGTGGTTTGGAAAACATTGTTATGAAGAATTATTTTCTGCCTATACAATCATTTTTATTTATTTCCTTATAATACTGTAGATTTCCCTGTCATATCCTCCCATTATAGATTCATTCCATAAATTGGATGATATATTTGATGATGAATGTTGTAGAGGCTAGTCAGAAATTTAATTTAGTAATTTAGAGTTGGAAGTGTTTGAGGCAATTTGTAGATATTTTGTTATGATTCATTTCTGGTTGCTTTCTAGACAGAACATACAAGGCGCAACAAGAAAATAATTTTCCCTAGGTTGTCGACAGAAAAGTTCTCGAAAAAACATTTTTATTGCACATGTTGCTCTAATTTTACACATAATCACTGCCAGAATTGAGACTTTGTCATATCATGGGATAAATATTTTTACCCCTGTCATAGCAGTCTGTCACCTGTTAGAAATGGGAGAAATGTTAAACAGCCACAACTTTGCATCACTGTCCCATGCATAACGCTGACCGGATAGGAATTTCTTGAGATGTAAGCAAAGATGGAAATCGCTGGGGGTGAGATCCTATTGGCCAGACACTCAAACACCTTCCAGTGGAGCTACTGCAGAAGAACTGATTTCAGCCAAGCCATGTGTGTCTGTATGACCATCCACTGTACAGACCGGATTATATCTCCAATGATTTCCATCCTTTCTAGCCTTCATTTACACATATCATAGTGATGCAGAGTTGCAGTTGACACAGACCCACATATGACAAATGTCAATTCTGTGTGAAACAATATAATAACTTGTACTGTATCTGCTCCTTTAAAGTTTTTCCATGAAATTGTTTTCTTTGTTGTTGATGACCTAGGGAAATTTACTATCTGGATGAACCTCATAACTTTCTTTTGCTTTCATTCACTCATTCATGAACTTATTGGATCCCCCCCCCCCCTTTTTTTTTTTACCATATGTTTTTATTGGTAAATGTGATTTCACTTTTTATTTTATTTATTATATTTTCTTCTCTATCGATCAAGAAAAAAATACAAGGCCATTCATGTAGCATGACATTTAAACAGTAATGTGAGAATACCGAATTTCTTTTTAAATGATTTTGTCTAGAAAGACATCACAAGCTTGCATCCTATGTACACTGCTATATTTTAAAGGTTGTGCCTTGACTACTTTTTATTTTTGTATTAAAGAAAATCGAGGTAAATCAAACTGCTTGAGTGAAATAACACAGTTTTAGAATTATGATATTAAATAAAACTTATTTGTTTTTTCTCAAGAGGAAAATATTCTACACTAAACTGAATATAACTGTAGGATTGAAAATTCTTTCTTATTTTTCTGAATGAATTCGTGGCATAGCACTATCTAGAACCAAGGCCACCAAAAGAATTTCCAATTGATTTGATTAGATTTAAAATTAGTTCCCAAATATTTATTCTTGAGAGAAATACTTTTTCAGTATGAACATTATGACTTCATGTTTAGAACAAAATATACCATATCCTTGAAATCTTTTCAAAATTGGTATTGATATGAAGCTACAATCCTGCTAAGGAGGTAGTATCTATTCATTGGTAAACACACAGCACATTGTATTGGATCAATTGAAATCAGAGAATTTTGACAGCCTAAATTAAATTTTGCAACAATTTTAATTTGTCCTGACACTCCTACTCTAATGATTGAATTTATAATTGTAGCATGTGACCAAACAACGGGACAAGCGTAAGTGGGAAAATTGTGGTTGTGTATATATGTAGCATGTCCAGTGTTTACGAAAACAATTGCCTTCGAGAAAATTTGGTCGAAGTCACTTCCGAGCGCGAAATTTAAACTGGCAATCGGCGAAACCAGTATGAACTTGTCCCTGAGATTAAGATTCCCAAATAAATGATAGTATCGTGCAGACTATTCTTAACCCTTAACTGGTAGACGGGTCGACAAAACGTATTTTTTTGTCTATCTATTAAATGGCTGTTTCTTTTGGTAAATGGTGATTTGATTTCAAATTTGCAGAGTATATATTTGTAACTGGCAACGTTTCTTTGTAATAGGCAATTAAAAAGTAGATAGTGTTATAAAGTAATTGATTGTATTTACTTATTTATAATAATTCCTATCAAAATGTAGTTTTGGATGACGGTTTACTGTACATCTCTTTTTAGTGTCCAACAATAGTCTGCTAGAATATTTCGATTCCATATTCTTTGACAACTTTTTCTATTGTTGTAATGTCTCTGTGGAAACGATCAATGCGTTCGCACCGCCGAGATTTTTAGAAAAGAAGTTTAAGTGTGAATCCAGAATATGTATTTGAAGGGACATATAACATCCCAGAGCTTTATAATTGTGAATGAGTTCGGACCCTAGTTCATAGTACTTTTTGTAGTAGCAATTTAGTTATCAAGGAATTCAATACGACATTTTGAACAACATTCAAAATTGCCTTAGTGTCATGATCCCTGCCTCTTTATTTCTGGTCCTACAAATACACACTCCATTTTTCAGCTTACTGCTTCTAGAAAATTTGTTCTTGGAATACAAGAAACCTGACCCAGCTTTATCCATTCCCTTCACAAAAAATGTTCATGTATCTGAATTTGAAGTGCGAGAGTAGAAGACACGTGAGCAGTATTTACAAGTGGTTGCGAAATTACATTTTACCAGGCATCAGATGTCGTTGAGACCATTGCTTCTTCACAAAATTATTTGTTGCGAGCTCTGATTTCCCACTCCAATAGAAAACAAAATTTAAGTATATCCTTGTCGGATACCTAATAAAACTGTGATAACTTTCAAATTGTCTCATATATTCCGCAAATGCTGTTGATATTATACCTCTGATAAGAAAGGTTGCATGATGCCATTCGTCTCTAATATGGGCTTGCATAAGCATGAGGATTTGCTGGTTTCTTATTTCCAATATGAATAAGCGCAGCTTCTAAACCGAGTTCAAAGAAATCTAACAACCCCGATTTGCGGCGGCAATGGTGTAACGGTTAGCGTACCGGACTGTTATACCCAAGTTCTCGAGTTCAAACCCGATCGAAGTCGTGTCTCTTCGTACGCCTTCCTTCGGAGGGGAAGCAAAGCCGGCTGTCCCATGTTAGTGGATTTACTTGCATGGAAAAGATCCTCAACCAACAACATGTCTCTGTAATAAGAGATTTTCTGTTGAAAATTCGCCATTATTTCACGCAGCACCACCACATAACTTTCTTTCTACTCCGTAACGAAAAAAAAAACAGAACAATACGATGTACAGCATCTTAACTATATCATTCGCCCACCAGAGCTTTAAAAATCATGTAAATTAAGGAAGGGACTAAATGAACTAAAAATAATTCGATAATTAATGAAACAATAATTATTTATGCACGTTGAAGCTTCTTACAAGATAAATAATTTTTTATTAGTAATATGATCAGTACCAATTAGCCAAAATAAAAAATATAAAAATGTAGCAAAATTGTGCTCTCGCGCTCCGGAGGTATGAACCTTCCGGCTGTTGCATATAAAAGTCTTCTTCGAAAGAGCTGCATAGGAAAGTGGTGTTGACATCAAACTGAGCGAGTTTCATTCGAATGGTTTCATATCGTGCAACAAAGTTGAATGTCTATAATCAATTCCCTGTCTTTGTACGAAACCTTTTGCAAACAACTGAGCAATGAAGTGGATTTTTCCTGCATCCAAAGGTTTTTCGGATAAGTCCCAGCGATTCTATAAGTCTTGTACATCTTTCGGACGTTCGACCAATGCCCAGGTATTATTTTCTTCTAAAGAATCCAAC